CTAATCTTTGACAGAGGAGCAAAGAATAATGCAATGGAGCAAAAAGTATGTTCAACAAATGGTGCTGGCGAAATTGGACGTCTACATGTTAAAAAAATGCACCCTACACAAAACCAACCCCAAATGGATTAAAGAACTAGACCTGAAACCATGAAGTTATCTAGAAGAAAACATTGGTGAAACACTACATGGCATACACTGCAGTAACATCGTAAAGATACCTCACCCAAAGCAAGGATAGTGAAGGAAAGGTTAAACAGCCTGGGCTACATCGAGTTAAAGAGACTCTGTACAGGAAAAGAGACACTACATAAAACAAAGTAAAATATATTTCTTATATTCAAGACAGTTTCAAAGACCAATGAATAAACCTACAGGAAAGAAAACACAAACCTGATATTTTGTAAGTTGTGTGCCTCTTGCAAGGAGAAAAGTTTATTTTCTTTCAAGTTTTATGAAGAAACCCTGTCAGGCCCACCCGAATGAAAAAGACACTGTGAAAGAGAAGAAAAGAAAATATGAACAAAATATGGGCAAGAGGGAGCAGAGACAGGGGTGGCTAATGTAATCCCCCTGAGAGAGTCTTGCCATCACCCATCGTCTCCGAGGCCAGAAGCCAAAAAGGCTCTCCCCTTGGGTGGCCCTTGGATGTTCCACAATAAAAAAGGGTAGAAATTTTCCCAGTTTTCCTATAATAAAATATTTCATTTCCTAAATTCTTGCCTTTTCCCCCACACAAATTGCCTACCAGAGAAGTCAAGTTAAGGTCTGTATAGTGTCCTGTCTGGGAATTAACATACACCTGAGAAAATGATGTGGACCAAAAATGGACGCTTTGTTTCTGCAGGTGCTTGCCTCTATGTACCCTCCTTTCCTTAAAAGAAAAGAAGAAAACCCTGCCCAACTTCACACCCTCTGTAAATCACCGCCCACCAGGGGGCGCTGAAGCAGCTGGCTTGACGCCCTTTTCCACCCATCTGACCCTGAGAATAAGTATTTTCCCCTTCTGTTCTGGGTGGCCTATCATTAAGTTAACAGAACTAAATATCCCTGCAGGGTCTTTTCTACTGATTCAATTTTTTACATATTTGATTAAGTTTTAGATAAGAACACTTTACCTCCTGAGGCCACAAAAAGCCGCATTCTCTTCCGATTTTCCCATCATTCCTATTTCCTAAACACTTGAGTTCTTTTTTTCCTGTTTCTTTTCCTTCCTGTTGACTCTACCCTAAATGAGATTCTGCATTTCCTCCTCTTCTAACAATCTCCCTGTTTGCTTGGATTTCTCTCTCTCTAAAAACCAACAGCCATGAAGACAGAATCTGTCACGGGCCTCACTGTATTCCAAGAATCTGGCACAAGACCTGGAGGTTGTGGATAATAAGTTATAATAAATTATAATTACTGCGTTGGAGTTCATCCCTAAGGCCAACCACCAGCTTTCTGCCATCCCCCAGCAAACTGGTCACTGATGGCTGCACATTCACAAGAGGTCTACATAGCAGGGTGTTGGAGGGGACATGAATACTTCAAAAGTAAGAGCAGCATCTGTCTTGCAGGCTCAGCTCCAGCTCTCACTTGCCAATCCAGCCCCCAGAACTTCCTTTCACAAAAACTCTCCATCACATCTGATCTGACCTTGGAGCTATTCATTTGAGTAAGAACCCCCCCCCCACACACACACACACGTTTCGTTTTGTTTTAATTTTTATTTGGGCCCTCCCTGGTGACGCGACAGGTTAGGATGCAGCACTGCGAGCTGGCAGCAGGAGCTTCAGTGTGACTTTGATCCCCATCCCGGAGTTGATCCATATGGCACAGCAGACCTCTCCTGTCTCAACCGCTGCTCTCCTCAGCAGTGTACTTCATTGATCTGCCTGTTCTGCTCCCCACTCTGTCTCTGGTGAAGCTTCTCATCGCCCCTACTCCTCTGGCTTGTGACCCAATCTGTATGAGTAAATAAATCTTTAAAAAAAAAATTCTTTATGCATATAGAACTGGGGTATAGGCCAGAGGTATAGGAGCAGTGAGAGAATTCACCAGAGACAAAGTGGAGAGCAGAGGAGGCAGATCAAGTCAAATAGACTGCTGAGGGAAGCAGCGGTCGGGTCAGGAGAGTTCTGATGTGGGTCAGCACCCTGGGTGGGGATTGAACTTGTGCTGTAGCAGCTGTGGCCACCCTCACAGTGCTGTGCTTTAATCTGTTGCACCACCTGGGAGGGCCCCTGTATTTGTCTTTTAATTTCTCTAGACAATCACTTTCCCATCACCCCAGATACTCCTCAAATCCCCTGCACTCAACCTCATCTCTAATTGACTGTCTCTCTCTGTGTGTGTTATATGTGTGTGTTTTTAAGAGTTATTTATTTATATATATACAAACTGAGGTATAGGCCAGAGGGGCAGAGGTGATGTTACAGGACAGGGGGAGAGAGGCCTGTCCCTTAAGCCCCAAACCTGCCTGCTCTAAGTGGGTTCTGCCATCCGCCGCAACAAGACAAAACATATAAAACTTTAATGAAAAGGGACTTTAATACAGTAAATATACAATACAAAAAACAGAATATAACTTTTAAATCAAACACCTGAAGTTACCCATCCCCTCGTGAGCAAAAGTCAACCCAAAAGGGATTGGCCCAAAGCAAGGCCTGAAAGCCCGCCGCAAGACTAAAGCACCTTCTGGCCAGGACTCATGGAAAAGGGTCAGAGATGGCCAGACAAATCTGGGAGGAAAAGAGCAAAATCAAAATCAATATAAACACTGCCATAGTCACCTCCCTACAGGTATCTCACCTACATCTGCCTTAACCAGTCCAGGGTCAGGAAACAAGCCCGGTTTCTTCCTCACATGCTTGCTGCTCCATGTGGCTTCCTCAGGTCTCCTTGTTCTCCATTCAGCTTCCTTCTCTTCTCCTCCTCTCTTCAGCTTCTTTCCTTTTTCTCTGCTCATCTCCACCCTCCTGGGTGGGGCAGGGAACCTGGAACTTCCCCTTTGCCTAGGGACCACCCTGTTACAGTTAGAGGATTCACCAGAGACAGAGTGGGGAGCAGAACAAGCAGAACTACTCAAATATACTGTTGAGGAGAGCATCAGGGAGACAGGAGTGGTCTGCCCTGCCACATGGGTCACCTCCCTGGCCAGGGATCAAACTAGGTGCTGCAGTGACTGCAGCTACCTCCATAGTGCTCACTCTAACCTCTTGCATCACCAGGGAGGGCCCTCTAACTTGTTGTTTCATAGTGAAAAGCCCTTCACTCCAGGCAGCTAACTTCTGGTAGTTTTGTGGTGCCCTTCTCTCTAGTAGTCCACTCAGAGCAAACAAGTCACAGTGTAACAGGGTGGCTCTCTGGAAAATGGGAGGTTTCAGGTTCCTTGTCCCTCTCAGAAGGAGGGTGGAGCTGAGCAGAGAAGAAAGGAATCTGTAGAGGAGTTTAAGGAAGAAGGAAGCAGGATGGAGATCCTGAAGGAGACCTGAGGAGGCATGTGGAGCATATGGCAGAACCTACTTAGAGCAGGCAGGTTTGGGGGTTCAGTGTTGTTACCCTGTAACAACAGGTCAAACAGTCTGTGTACATGTAGATTCCCCAGCTAAGCACAGTGCCATTTCACCCCTCCTTAGCCCCTGTCATTGCCAGGTGTTATTTGTTCTTTGGGGATTACCTAGCTAGTTTTGCAGCCGTTAAAGCCCTCATGAAGCTGCCACCATTATAGGAAAATGATTATAGACATTTTCCTCCAAAGAAGAATCAAATCTAGAGAGACAAGCCAGAGCGTTTCCTGCTTCACTTATTTGTGAGGCTTCTCTGAATAATCCTCTGAAACTAGTATTTTTCTGCTCTGTGGTAAAGTTCAGTTTTTTAGGGTATGATTCAAAGGTCCGGATTTACAAATTTTGCTAGGCCTAAGGATGTCATTTTGATGATGTGGAGTTCAGGAAGTGAGGTCCTTGAGGTGCTATTGAGAAAAGTTTCACCAGAACTTTCCTTTCTGCAGTACTGGCCATTTTCCCCAGGAGGCAGACTTGGTTATGTTCAAAAGGGTAGGTTTATTACATTAAAAAAGGAGAGGAGAGGAAGTCCCTTGCAGAAACAAAGCCTGCAGCAAACTGCCCCAGTTGTTTTGCAAAGGGAGAAGGAGGTGCTGAGACCTGGGTCTCAGGTGGGCCAGAGGGCTGCCTCCGGGGAGAGGGAAAAGGTGTTGTTCTTTTAGGGAAGGGTGCATTCCTTTGCGGAATTGTTCTCTAGTTAAATTCATTGCTTTTAGGGTGTGCCACTCTTTGACCTAAGTTTCCTTTAAAATTCTGTATTCTTTTAAAAAGGGGATGCCACAAACACATTCTTAGCTCACCATTCAGTTTCCAAGTCTCCAGCTCCCATTTTGACAGAAACAGAGGTGTAACAGATACAGGTTTCATAGACGCCCCTACTCCAGATGTTGGAACTCCCAATCCCATCAGTACCAAGAAGAAGCACTCGAGGATGTGAGGGTGGAGCTGAGCAGCCAGGTTGGGATAAAACCGGACATGTGGGCTGGGGGGTGGGGAGGGGACTTTTGGCCTGCTGTTTCGCAGCTGATGTTTTTGGCGCTCAATCGGTTTTCAGCGTGCTGGTGGAGTCCAAGCGAGCAGAATTGGTAGGACATCCTAGTTAACCTGGGTTTCTCTCCCTCTTTCCCTGGGTTATTCCTTTACCTTTCTCCTTATAAATAAATCCATTATTTAACCTTTTGAGTGTGTTTTTGAGAATCAGTAGAGTCACAGTTGCCATAATACGATTGAATCATAAGCGCACGGGTGAAGACCCACAGACAGGCAACCCAATTCACATTGGGGTGCCCTGTAACAGAGGGACTCAAATAAGGATCAGTCACTCAGATAATGAGCACGTTTCCTGCATGTTTTCATTATTCTTTCATGTTACTTATTTAAAAAATAATTTTAAGGAAATGATTATAGACCTTTTCCTCCAAAGAAGTATCAGAGACAAGCGTGAGAATTTTCTGCTGAGAATCTTTTATTGAAGAATCAATTTCATATGTTCACCCCTGCAGCCTTCCTAGTGTAATTAGTACTTGCTGCTGAGTGGAACTTGCTTCTGTTGAGAATCAGTAGAGTCACAGTTGCCATAGTTCTGGAAATACATCTGGCCAGAGTACTTGTTTCTGCAAAACAAACAAACAAAAATCATTATTTTTAAAGGAAGACTTTGGAGACCTTAACTAAGATGTTTGACATTCTTAGCTGAAGGCAGCACAGAGGTGAGCAATTAGCCAGGTAACTTCAGGACTCTGGGGTTCAGTGTGTTAGTAAATAGTTAGGAGTCAAAAGATCTGTGAATGTCTTTTATCTTCCAGTTACTATGATGTTAACAAGTCTCTAGTTAGCTTTTCTAGCTTCAGTTTCAGTTTGATCCACTTTTCATTTTCTTTAAAAAAAATTTATCTTTTTTTTCAGATTTATTTCTTTATTCATTTAGCATAAATTTTACAAAAACACTGCTGTGAGCAGCAGATGAGACAGGAGACTGCACAGCTTTGTGGCTGGGTATCAAAATCAGGCTGTAACAGGGTGGTCCCCAGGAAATGGGGAAGTTCCAGGTTCCCTGCCCCACCCAGAAGGAGGGTGGAGCTGAGCAGAGAAAAGAAGAGAAGAGAAGGAATCTGGGAAGGAAGGAAGCAGGATGGAGAGCCTGAAGGAGACCTGAGGAAGCCACATGGAGCAGCAAGCATGTGAGGAAGAAACCGGGCTTGTTTCCTGACCCTGGACTGGTTAAGGCAGATGTAGGTGAGATACCTGTAGGGAGGTGACTATGGCAGTGTTTATATTGATTTTGATTTTGCTCTTTTCCTCCCAGACTTGTCTGGCCATGTCTGACCCTTTTCCCTGGGTCCCGGCCAGAAGGTGCTTTAGTCTAGTGGCAGGCTTTCAGGCCTTGCTTTGGGCCAATCCCTTTTGGGTTGACTTTTGCCCACGAGGGGATGGGTCACTTCAGGTGTTTGATTTAGAAGTTATATTCTTTGTGTTCCGTATTGTATATTTACTGTATTAAAGTCCCTTTTCATTAAAGCTTTATATATGTTTTGTCTCCTTGCGGCGGATGGCAGAACCCACTTAGAGCAGGCAGGATTTTGGGGCTTCAGGGGTATCCCTCTCCCACTGTTCTGGAACAGATTTCGGGTGCCCTATAACAAGGCCACAGCAATGATAGGGATGAGCCTTAACCCCTGGACCACCAGGGATTTATTTTCTTCTTCCTTTTTTTTTTTAATGAAGACTTCATTTCTGGCTCTGTGTGAGAGGTTATTTCTGCAAATAACATGTTGAATTCGATACTTACATAACAGCATTGCAAAACATGCACTTGTTAGAATAGACTTGTCCATCGGAGCCGCAGATAGGTATGTATTCCATGGTACAGATGTCAGAAGTCTGGGTGCACTCAACCTGACGCTGTTCAAATACAGGCAAAACAGTACAAATCAATAAGTCAGAGGAAGTGAGCTTTCTGACGACCTTCAGGGATCATTTAGTCCAAAATCCTAGATGTCAAAAGGGATATTTCTCTCCTCTGCTGTTGATATAGCCTGCCCCAACAGTGGGGCAATCTGGCCACAGCAAGGGCTTCTCAGCCCATGCCTACACCTTTCCCCTCTTGCTCTCTACATCTGAGAGAACACAACCTGCAGATTCTATCTGGTTCTTCGTAAGCCCTGTCTTCCCACCTTGTCACCTACGCATTCAGGCCCTCAACATGTCTTGTCTATGCAGTTGCAGTCATCTGCTCATTTAATGCCCAATCTCCATATTTATCTGAGAGTTCAGTCACTTTCCACACTGTTGCCAGAGTGATCTCTTAAAAAACAAATCAGATGTAAACAGTAAGCTGACTCCCCATCAACAGAAAGTCCCCACGGAACCCTTGCTAAGCTATTTCCACTGTCATCCGCGCTATCTCTTTCTCGGCTAACCTGAGGACTGAATTCCTGTACTGGCTCCTGTCTGGTCCACCTGTGTTTGTTCATGGTGTTTTCCCAGCCTTGAATGACCTTTCCCCTGCTCTACACACCAGCATCCTGGGCATACGTCAGAAAGTGAACATTTCTGAGTGGGGATTTCTTGTGAGGTGTATAAAAAAAACAAAGCAAATGAACTGACCAAAGACAACAAAAGTAACCCATTGGCTTAAAAAAATACAGAGGGGAAGGGAAGGAATGGGTAGAAAGGCCAATGTCCAGTGGACATGGCATGAGAACATCAGTGATGGTGAGGTGAGTCTTATATGAAGACAGAGGCATGGAACTGTATCCTGAAACTTGTATAGTAAACCAATGGTCAATCAACAAAACAATGATTGAAATAAATGATTAAAGTAATTATCAGTGTTAACAACGGTTATAACACTTTCAGGATGATATTTTTCTCCCTCACCCATCACACTGGTGTAGGTGCCCATCCTCAGAACCTACAATCTATCTCCTGGTGTCCACAATTCTCTTAAGGCACCTTTCAAATTCCATTAAAATTATCGACATTCCACTCACATCGAATGGACATTTCACAAACTAGAATATATCCAGTTTGTTCTTGAATCACTTTCATGCTTTAAAAAATAACTTCTACTACTGTCATTGTCTTGAGTTTCTGAATACTCTGGAAATCCTCTTTGTAATCTGCTAATTAGTTGCTGTGTTAGAGAATAACATGTAAACCACAGCTCCCCCAATTAAGGTGCTCTGAGAAAAGTTTGTGGAAGTCTCCCTCTGGGTAAATAAATTAAGCATACTTCAGTCTTCTATTTAGGTTGGCCAGAGGGTCTATATAGTAACAGATCACTTCTAGAATATGTATCTTAAAATAGTTTTTCTCTACAGATTGTGGAATTATTGTAACATTTTATATTAAGAATAAATAAAATTTCTGTGTGTACTTACACATTCACCATCATGAAGCTTTCTGATGTTCATTCCTTTAGCTCTGGAAAAGAATATTTTATCAAATGGGTAATGTACTTACTTGATATTTCATAATCTACAGAGTAAAATACAGTCCTACAACATTCCGTGAACTCCACCCTGCTTTAAGAATGAAGAATTCTGTTTATTATTCTAAACAGTTTGGCTAGTATTGGCTAATAATGTCGTGGCTGGATGATCACCTTACAAACAAATTAATGCACAAGAAAATAACATAAGCATTAAAAGAAGATTGAATTATTTAAAAAACTGGTTAGGGATAGCACATGAAAAATTAAAGGTATAATATGGCATGAAAACATCTTTGCAGTTGAGAAGAAAATACGCTCAAGTTCACCTCTGGCACTGACAGTGGGTAGAATTTCATTATCATCACTCCCCTTTCTGTGCATTAACTTGCAGATTCCTATAAAGATGGTCTGGGATAAGACGTTTACATCCATTCTCAACCTGTTATAGTTTTCTTAATGTATGAATCTGAATATCCTGAGTAACGTTATTCTGGGTACCACTTGCTATTACACTTGGCTGTGAATTTTCAGTAGAGCTGGAATATAACAGAAAAGGAGGAGAAAATGATGTCAAGGATGAAGAGCTCACTTGCTCTGTGCCAGACTTCACCAAGATTTGACCTATTAATCATAAGCTAGTGAATTGAAATTGCCAAAATGTCTCATGATCACCATTCTTTCATTCTAGAAGTTGAGATGTTGCTTATATGAGTTTATATATTGTTTGTGAGGATTTTGGTGGCTGGGATTCCAATGAATTCCACCTATCCATTAGAAGCAGAATGGATTTCTTCTGGGGCATGGGGCTAGATCAAAGTCTTGCCATATATGTCCATGGCCAACAGTCAAAATAGAGTGTGCTGTCTTCTAAGTTCCCATTATGCAACATGATGAATGAAACATTTGAGATTTACATTTAAGGAAACAGTTTCCATAAATATGCCATGGGCATCAAAATGTTTGTATATAATTAACCAAGGCCCCATGGAGAGGAATATTCATATAATGAATATGGATATTTGATAACAAAGAAATGAATGTATGCATATATCTACATATATTTAGAGTTATAGCTTGAGAGATATGTTATATATAAGGAGATGTAAAGAGATTTCAAAAAGCCAGCATTGGGCTCTTCCTGGTGATGCAGCAATTTAGAGCACCACATTATATGAAGCTCTCTGAAGCCACTGCAGCACAAGCTGGATCCCTGCTAGGGAGCTGACCCACATGGCGTGGCAGACCTCTTCTGACCTGCCCGCTGCTCCCCTCAGCAGTATATTTCAGTAGATCTGCCTGTTCTGCTCCCCACTCTGTCTCTGGTGAATCTTCTCACCCCCCCCACCTCTGGCCTGTACCCCAATTCTGTAGCATAAATAAATAAATCTTCAAAAAAAAAAAAAAAAGCCAGTGTTTTGAGAGTATTAGACAAGCAAGATAAAAAGTAGAATTTGTAAAGCCAAGCAGATGTTGGTCCATGTGACCTTTGCAATAACACACTTGTGACCTTTAGAAAGTGGGGGGGGGGTGTGCTCCATATCCAGCACTACACTCACCGGCTTTGGGTACAAAGCATGCATTCATTGCTGTAGGTTTGCTCATCTGAGCCGCACAGGGGAGTCCACTGCCTTGTGCATGCGGCCCCTTTGCTGTTGTATCGGGAGCAGTCCACCTGTAATTCAACAAAAGCAACAGTCTTCATTCCCTTCCTGAACATGTGCAGTCATTCTCCAATGAAGGTGACAGACAGAGTGCGGTGACAAGGCTAGCCTCTCCGACTCTTTAGCAGCTATGACCAGAAGATCATCCACAGACTAGGTGCTGTGCGAGCTACACAAATACAGCAACCTGGAACAGGCACCCGATGAGGTGAACATTAATTGTCTGGGGAGGAAATGTTAAGTTCTTTTAGGGCCATAAAAAGAGTCCAATGGGATCGTGAATGTGAAAAGTATGCAGAAAAGTTTAAAATGCTGCGCCAAGTTTAAAGTGTATTAGTTGCCCTCCTGGTGGCACAGCGGGTTAAAGCTCAGCCCCATGAGGCTTGCAGCAGCTGCTTTACTGCGAGTTCGATCCCCTACCCTGGAAGTGATCCACATGGCGGGGCAGACCTCTCCTGACCAGCCCGCTGCTCCCCTCAGCAGTGTACTTTGTCAGTCTGCCTGTTCTGCTCCCCCTTTGTTTCTGGTGAATCCTGTCACTGCCCCTGCACATCTGGCTTGTACCCCAGTTCTGTGTGCATAAAGAAATAAAATCTTTAAAAAAAATAAAGTGTATTAGCTACTCGCCTTTGAAAGGAGGCTTTTGGGGCCACTTTTAAAGACATACCTACCATGTAAAAAGGTGTGAACCTATCCCTCTAAATGTTGTAAACCAACATTTCCTCAATGAAAACCAATATAAGAAAACACAGGAAAGAAAGGAGACCCACTCGGGGTCCCCACTGGGCACAAAGAGTGCAGCACATTGACCTCGTGAAATCCACTTTGCTTCCCCAGTAACTTTCATTCCATTTCTACAAAAAAACACTCAGACAAGCTTGCACTCACCTGTGTCCCAAATGCTTGATCGCGGAAAAACAGTGGAACGTGATGCAATTGGTGAGAAGAATTGGAGAAAGAGAGCAAATGTCACAATTAGAACTGCAAAGCAGGAGTCACTGGACCTCATTTCCCAATATCCTTGCCCAGCCTGACCCAAGACAGGGAGCACCCTGGGAGGTGTTGAGCAGAGAACATAAGCCTCTCATTTTTCTGCTCAGTGTTGCTTCCCTCTTCCTGCTGGTCTTACCCACCCTCCTTTGTCAATCGGCCAATCCAAATAGATCCCCTCTACTTTAAGTCTGGCTTGAGTAGTCTGTCATTATAGAGGGCTGAGTATATTGCGTCTGACTCGGTAACTATGAATACACTTGTGAGTAAAGCGAAAGATTTTTACCACGTGGAGAGGCAGCCCAGGCAGAGGTGGTCAGAGCAAAGATGGCAAAAACGGCGATGCTCTTCATGGTGATGCTGAGTGAGGGTGGTGGGGACACAGTGCTCCAGGCGAAGAAGGAGGGAAGGTAGTCTCCAAGTGCACGCACGCCTATATATACACACACAGAGACTAGGCACAGTCCCACCCTCATCAGAAACTGACGTTTTTAATGACGATTGGCTGTCAACGCGTTCTAGGATATTTATTTCATTTGCCAAGGAAAGCTTCCTTATTATCTTTATTTATAGGCATTTGAACAATTACCCCATGAAATTCATCTATCAAAGGAAGAAGGATCCTTTGATCTCTCAGCAAATACAATGCCATGCCTGTATTTGAGAACAAATATAATCATTAAAATGAGAACAAATGAACATTAAAGACTCAGAATCCTCCAGCCCAGAGGGGAGCAGGCCCTCTAGTCCCTGGATGGTACCTGTGTCGCGAGGGGCCAAGTCAGCAACCCGCTGGGGCTGTTGGGATTCCTGGTCACACATGGGAGAGCATGATGAAAATATTGTTTTATTGAAGTAACATTGGTTTGTAGCATTATATACATTTATAAATGCTCAGCGGTATATACACTTACAGATTGCTATCTGTATGTACTATATTAAAGCATCCTAAAACGTTTACTTTCCATCCTTCATCTGAGCCCTTTGAACAGCTTAACCCACCTTTCTTCCCTGCCTCCCCACCCCCCCTTTTCTTCTGGGAAACATTAGTTTGGTTTACTTTTGTAATATTATGTATTTGTGTGTGTGTGTTTTATATCTTATTCATTAGCTTTGTTTCTTTATTTTCCACATGAGTGAAATCATATGTTGCTTGTCATTCTATTTCCAAATTATTTAGCTTAGCATTATACCCTTTAGGTAGATCAATGTTTTTGCAGATGGCAGGATTTCCTCTTTTCATTGTTGCTTCTTTATAGCTGAGTAGTATTCCTCTCATCTCCTCCATGGGACTTAGGTTGTTTTCAATCTTGGCTATTATCTATTATTATCTGAATAATGCTGCAGTGAATGTGGGCTAGAGGTAACTTTTAAATTTAGTGTTTTCTTATTCTTTGGGTAAATACCCAGAAGTGTGATAACTGTATCTTACAGAATTTCTGGTCTTAATTGTTTGCATAATCTCCATACTGTTTTCCAAAGTGACTATAGCACTTTGTACTGAGATTCCTTCTGTCTACATATTTTTTAAAAAAGATTTTATTTATTTATTCATATTGAACTGGGGTACAGGCCAGAGATGTGGAGGGTGAGAGGATTCACCAGAGACAGAACAGGAACAGAACAGGCTAGTCCACGAAGTACACTGCTGAGGGGAGCAGCGGGTGGATCAGGAGAGGTCTGCCGCGCCATGTGGTCCCTCCGGGGCAGGCGGGAATCGAACTCATGCGGAAGTGGCTTAAGCTTCTTAGTGCTGTGCTTTAACCCACTGCGCCACCGGGGAGGGCCCAAAACATTGTTTTTAAGAGGACATTTGGATATTTATACAAAGAACTGTAAAGGTGGAGACAAGCAGGTCTGTTAGAAGTCCATGGAAAAGCCCACTGAGAAAAAGAAACGGCCATAAAATTTATAGAAGATCATAAAGGTAGAATGCAAGGTAGAATGCAGTTTACTAAAGAGTTACCAGTTCGGGTACAGATTAGGACTGAGTGTATAGGGTAACCTGGGAGATGTTAGCACATCATCCTTCAAAATAATCCAGGAGTTAGATGAGCAAATGGAAATTCCATCAAAGATGAATACCTGCTTGTTTTCTAGAGACTAAACTTCAGTTGACAGTTTTTCTCTGTTCTTTCTTCATGCTTGAAGAATGATCTACAGTCACTTATTATTTAGATAGAACTTTAATTTCAGCACTGGAAAGAAAAATGGCTCTGTGTGCCAGAGTGGTGTCAGGGAAAGAACAAGATGTCCTGTATGATTTCTCTCTGAGGGAAACTGGTGTCAATCATTGGTGGTAAAGGCCACAGGAAGGATTATGTGAGAATACACTCATTTCATTTACCAAACTCTGTAATAAATCAGACTTCCTCTGTCAATCACCAAGAATTACAATTACAAAGAATTAGACTGGGATACAAAGGTGAGTACTTTCCTCAATTTCAAGCATGCATGAAAATATTTAGAAATGTCAACGTACAGAAATTTCTATTGTCATTACTGTAGAATGAGTAATGGGGTGTTTAGAATCCAGAAAGGAACAAAGAAAAAATAACTGCGTAACAAAGAAAGACAAAAAACTGGTTTGTACTCATTATTGAATCACAGTGCACGTTACACCCAGACTACCACCTATTTTTTTTTTTTTTGGTAAATAGCTTTATTGGTACAGAACAATATATATATTTTTTACATAATGTAAATTCATTTATTTTACAAAACAGCACTGGTTGGTTGTGATGGCAACCTTTAGAGCCTAGATATTTTCTATATGGCTCTTTATAGAAAAAGTTCACTGCTCTAGAATCTAGAAAAGTGCCCTCATTGGATGTTTCTGAAACCTTGCAAGAAGTAAGAAGGCTTCAAGTGTGTCCCTTGAATGAAAAAAAAAATTTCTTTTTTTTTTATATTCTCAGCTTGATTTTTAAAAATATTTATATAATATTTTTCATTTTTATACAATGTTTGCTTTTTCCTCTCAGGTGTATTCCCTGTAAAATTCCCACCACCAATTCACCCATGCATAGTCACCACAGTCTCTGTGCTCTTCCCTCCCATTTTGACTGCTCTTTCTCACCCTCTCCTCGAGAAGGCCTCTGATTTATAGTTGCCTGCTGATTTTTTCCCCTGACCCTCTTACTTGGTTTCCCTATATTCCTCCTATAAGTGAAACTATCCAATATTTTTCTTTTTCCTTCTGGCTTATTTCACTGAGCATAATCCCTTCCAGCCCCATCCAAGTTGCTGTGGATGGCATGTTTATCTTTTTGATTGCTGAATAGTATTCCATTGTGTATATATACCACATCTTCTTGATCCAGTCAGCTATTTTTGGGGCATTTGGGTTGTTAACCACCTTCTTGTAAATAGTTCTGCAATAAACATAGGAGTGCCGGTGTCTTTTTGAATTGCTGGGTCATATGGACATTTGTAATGTCACAATGAAATACCAGTTATAGAGAAATGGGTAAGCCTATGGTAGAGACTAGGAAGAGCCAACACAAATAGTTTTACTTTCTTTGGTTCCACTTCAGGACATTAGTCACTTTAGAATTTCAGGGCTATTTTGTGAAACCTCAGTTAGGTGAGTCTAGTTACCTCAGCCTCACATCCATCATGCTGTAACTCTGATGAAGTTAATTAATTAGTTTACTTGATATTTAATGCTGTTATTTTGTTATGGCTATTTTGATACAGATAACATTTTATATTCACCCCTAGTTTGTAGCCAAAAAAGCAATTAACTGTCAGCTTCAAAAAATATTTCAAGTAAATATATTTAATACATACATTCCTATGCTTCACCCCAGAACTGCAGTCCATTCTGGGAATGGGATAAATATATTGGGTATGCTGCTTCAATCTCAATAAAATGTTTAAAATGAAACTACTCCAAAAAAAAAAAAAAACATGTGTTGATCAGGAATATAGCAGTTGCTGGATTTCCTAGAAATGACCAAGGACATACAATCTCATGTTACAGACTCTGTGAAACCACCTAGCACATCCTGGAATTGCTAAAGAAAATAACAACACTGTTTTCTCATGTTTTTTTTTATTTCTTGCAATGACCCTATATTTTCATGCTCAAAGAATAATTCACAGATGTGTTTTCTTTCCTTGTGTCAATAATAACATGGAAAAAAAAACAGTATGGGTGTGATTTATTTTCACTCAGGTACAAAGGACATAGGGGACAAAATCCTGTATAATAGGCCTAGTGATAACATTCCTAAAAGAAAAACAGCAGAGGAAAAATTACAAATGAACTTGCCACATCAAGTAGGCCTGCCACTTAGCGCACAGTTCTTCTGCAGCTGAGACTTGAACCACAACGGACTTTGCACACACTTCCTCTCCCTGGAATGGCCCAGAATCTGCAAGTGAACAATGTAAGAAGGCACAGCAGGAGCAAGACTCTGAGAATAATTCCAGCATTGAGGATTAGAGTTCAAATTGAGTCACCCCCCCACCCCCCCCTCCAATTTCCCCCTCCTCACACACACATCCAATGCTCGGATTCCTTGTAGATTGCCTGAGAATGAACTCACTGCTTTGGTTATAGCCTCTGGCACATATAGCTACTGAGCACTTGAAATGGAGCTGACTCAAATTGGAGCAGCCTTTTTTCCAAATCTCTTCATCTAGGTATTTTATATATATATATATACACACACAAATGCACGTATATATGTATATACATGCACATATATGTGTATATATGTGTGTACACACATACATACATATGTATGTACACACATATGTATACACACACACACACACACATATACCAAAATCTAAGACTTTGTAAATACAGAAATGCTTCTATTGATTCTATTTTGAAACCATAGCTTAGTTATACTAGGTTGAATAAAATGTAGTATTAAAATTAATTTTACCAATTTCTTTTATAGCTACTAGAACATTTGAAATTCCACATGTGACTGCTGTTTATTATATTTCTACTGGACAGTGCTGCTCTAGAGACTTGCCCATATCTGTAATTCTCATTTCCTCTGTCTTCTTATGGGTTCAAGGCCTTGGTCTGGGAAATCAGTGAGAGTAGGCTCAGATTGTGCTTAAGAGAGAGTCGACTTATGTCACTGGATAAAGTGTACATAATTTACCAGTGTGTTCATGGAAATCCACAAGATAACAAGTAGGCTCAGATTGTGTTTGAGAGAGAGTCGACTTATGTCACTGGATAAAGCGTACATAACTGAACGGTGTGTTCATGGAAATCCACAAGGTGGACAGGAAGGTGGGGCTGACCTGTAGCTGGTTTGGCTTTCTACAGGCTTTCTATTGGTGCCTGGGAGCCCATGTCTCTCTACTCTCCCCCATACTTTCCATTCCTACCTTGACAGCAACCTGAAGAAGAGAAAAGTGAGCATTCATGGTCCACCCATGGACTTAACAAGACAAAAGAATATTTATTCAGTTTCTGTAAAAAATAAGTTGCTCTTATCTAGGCAGTGACAAAGAAATTCCAGAAATGATGTTCTGCTGGGTTTACTTTTATTGAACAACCAGTTGAACAGATAATATTTTGATCAGGAGGTTTCCAAAGCATGTGCTGGGTTTAGATGCCGCTGGGTTCTAGGAGGAATCTAGAAGGAAAGAGATGGAAAAGACTGAAAGTCAGTGAGTCCATTCCCCCAACTGCTCTGTGATTGTTTCTCTAGTAAATAAGATGATCTCTGAAGAATTATTTCTATGTTCAGGTGGTGAAGGTAGGTGATTCAGAATTGGGGCATACGAATTCCCTCAGGGTTTTTTTCCAATTCTTGTATCATTTTCCTAGAAGAAAAGATGGGTAGGTCAGATGCTAGAAATCCAGAGATACTATAGAAATACGGGCTATACGTTTATAGCTACACTTAGTGAGAGTCAGTGGATGCCAGTATTCTCCCAAGAACTCACAATTTAAGATCACTTTCATATTTTATTCAATTGAGTTACTAAGTCTGTATTGAGTATGTAGTATAGACTATACTCTCTACTGAGGTAAGTACAAAAATGAACTCTGTTCTTGATTATATGTGACCCTCACAGTAATGAGAACTTTGGCAGTAAAGTTGTGACTTTCCTGCAAAAAAATGAGGAAATTGAACTTCAGAGAAGTTTAGTAACTTTCCAAGGCCTCCCATTCACTCTGGACTGAAATCCAGTCCACTAACACTCATGTTGTATTGTTAGTTTGTTTTGAGACTATGATCATCTGTCTTCCTTGCCTGACTTATCCATGTGTTTTATGCTTTTGAAATCAACATTTAAAACAATAATTCAATTTTTAAAAAGGTTTAAAGAGGTTAAGGACCTCAAGAAGTTTTCTTCCACATAACTGCAGGTCATTAACTAGTGTCATCTGGAGCTTCTGTGGTACTAATGCTTCAAAGTTAGACCACTTCTGGGCTCATACTGGCCATGGTATTTGCTAACCCTTGCCAATCTTTAGCATAGAATTGAGATTAACCATTTATTCACCTCCCAAAATAGTGTTGTATCGTCCAACATCTCTTTCATTATAGCTAATCTTGTTTAACTAAGATAATGCCTTCTCTTATGGCCCAGATTCTCAGAATCCCCAATCACTAGAGGAACGGCAGCAGAGTGTAAGATATGAAGAGCTCTGAAATGCCACTGAGTTTCTCTTTGGCATAATTTTCTAGGTGATGGGAAGATAACAATCTCTGCTCTAATCATGGGACTGTTGTGAGGGCACTGACAGAAAAGCACAGAAAACTCACTAGAGGGGAACAGCACAAAGGACTATAGGTGCTCTGGTGGTGGAAGAATGGTGGTGATCACACCTCAGAGGAGAAAACATATATTGTCCAATGATGTAAGAAAAATGTACTACATTTAAAAATCTATTTTTTTAAGTTTGAGAGGCACAGATCCCAAAAATAGTAAATTTTTCAGATTTATTTATTTGAAAGACACTAAAAAAAAATCCAAATAACAAGAACAAAACAGCTCTCTAAAGAGTTACATAGTACAACTGCATAATGGAAAATATTGCTTGGTAAGCAAAAGGATGGATTTCAGGAACTGCAACTTAGTTTTTTCAGTAAAGTTGTGACTTTCCTGGCCCTCTATCCCATTCTTAGAATTTCAGTCTCTTCCAGCCAGGAACAAAATTCACGTGGCAAATCCTAACCCCAGCATCTGCGGAATGTCTTCATATGACACTGCTGAGCCATGACTGGGTCACCACCGTGTGTCCACAGTCCCATCCCTGAGTCCTCAGAGGGATGTCAACCCAGATCAGGGCTCTTATTTCTAATGATTGTTCCCTTGTCTTACCATCATTAATAATCCCTGTTGTTAATAATGTCTGTTATATAACATTAGTGGAAAGAAAACACCCAAATGAAAGGAACTCTTGTATAAAACCTTCCATGCTTAACTCAGGCAAGACTTCTTATTATTTCAATAAATAAATCTTATCAATGCAATCTTATATCAAGTTCCTCATAAAGTAGTTTTTGTCAGGTAGTCTAAGGTGTGTTTCATTGAATCTGCATCCATTTTATTTTTGCCTTCCTGTTCTGAAATACATGTAACCAAGTCTGTTTGTGAAATGGGGGGACAGTATATTCTTTTTTTTTTTTTTTAAGACTTACTGTTTTATGCATACAGAATTGGGATACAGGCCAGAGGTGCAGGAGTGGTGCGAAGATTCACAGAGACAGAGTGGGGAGCAGAACAGGCAGATCGACAAAGTGCACTGCTGAGGGGAGCAGCGGGTGAGACAGGAGAGGTCTGCTGTGCCATGTGGGGCACCTCTGGGGCTGGGACTGAACACACACTGAAGCAGCTGTGGCCAGCTTGCCATGCAGTGCCCTAAGGGAGGGCCCGGGGGACAGTATATCCTTTGGATAAAATTAGGTGCAAACTACAGAGAGTTTATCTGTAAGATGGCAGACACAAGTAGGTACTAGAGCCAAAGTTTATACCCTTTCTTTACCGATGCAGAGAGACCCAGAGCAGATCGATGATTTGGTACTGCCCAGAAGAGGAAGAAATAATTTCAGCCCAGAAAGCCCAACTGTGCTTTCCAGTTGTGAGTGAGGAACCAGAAACACTTAGCTCTTGTTTTCCAGTTCTCCTATCAAGGACTCACCAAATACTTGTTTCGAATATGGCCTCATCTAAAACTTGCTTAAAATCCCTAAAACTAGCAGATAGTTTCCAATTCCACAAAAGCTAAATCTTTCCATGGCAGTGAAATAGAAGTAAAAAATTGTGACTAATACACAATTATTACTTAGTAAATAGAATGTATTAAGTATAGTTTGTTTAATTAAGCATAAATATATTTACTAAACATGAACTACAGACTAAAATGTAATTAGTCCAATTATTAAAATTAAATAAGCATACGACAGGGTCTTTTTCCCTAAATTCATATTTTGGTCCCATGCATTACAATGATAATGGTGATAATAATAATAAATGTCATTCATTTTCTAGATACTATTCCAAAAAACTTAAAAGCCAGTGTTTTTTACATATTTTTCAATAACTTGGTGAGAATTTGGTTTAGACATTTAGATGGTGGTTTACCAAAGGTCTCTCAGATGAAGACTATCAAAAACTGGAACTTGAATCCATATTTATATGGTAACAAAACATTTTCTCTTAATTGAAATTCTAAAATTCTTCTCCTAATTGCATATTATTTCACCTATGGAAGTTATATGACAAAACAATCACTAGGGAGCATGCCAACCTCAATAACCTGTGTCAAAACTTCCTGGTAGGAAGTTAGATGAAAAGGTCAGCTTTCCATGTTGGCCATGTTTTCTTTGAATGCAATGAAAAGCACAAGGATATGGAGATTCTACAGACATGCTTTAAGTTTCATTCTGCTACAGACTGACCTGTCTTGGTCTTTGCTTCATCTTTTTATTGTGGAGTCTAGAAAGCCCAATTTGTTAAATGAGGGATGTGACTCATTAACCTCTATTAATGATTCCAGCAAACGCTACACATTGTGTTCACTACTTTATTGTTATTTCCACCTTGTTCAGCAATAACTTATGTTTATAATAAAGATGTAAACATTTCTAGGGCTACCTGATCTATCACTTCCCTGGCTGGAAGGATGTCCATCACCGAATACAAGAAAACAAAAACATGATCAAATGGTCATAAAATTTTCTTTCTCTTGATTTTTGTGTAGAATCACTAGGGCCAGAGGAGCAGAAGGTGAGAAGATTCACCAGAGACAGAATGGAGAGCAGAACAAGTAGGCTGAAATATACTGTTGAGGGGAGTAGAGGGTGAGAAAGGAGAGGTCTGCCCGGCCATGTGGTCAGCTCCCTGCTGGGGGATCAAAGTCAGGCCACAGTGGTGATAATACTGAGACCTAACCCCTAGGCCACCAGGGAGGCTCTGGTAACAATATTTTCATGTGAATACTAAGTTACTCACAGATGTTGGCTTGCTGGCAGGCGTCCTTCCCTGGGTGCTTGTCTCCACACATGGCCCTTTACTATGTATGCGTATGTTAGTTTGGCGTAGCCTAAAACAGAACAGAAGAGGTTTCAAAGGAAGGAAAGCTGACATTTATATTAAGAAAAACCCCAAATGTTAATGGGTGGCATTAAACTACAAACTAGGGCTGAAATTAGTGGAGGCCCTGGTACTCATATTCAGCTATTTTGCAGTAGGCAGCATCCAGATTTCTTCTGTCTCTTCTGATTTGGTTTCAGATGTGTTCCCCATGCCTGGGTGTATTCATCACATCTCATCCATCTATATACCCATAGAAATGCTGTGTGTTGGAAACAAACTTAGAATCATCTAATCCAAAAGCCATTATGTTGTAGAGATTGGGTCTCAGAGAGGAATTTGACATTATTGAGTATCTAATGATGTGATGTGAGGATTATAAAACATATGTAGAAATATATGGTCCTTCTTGCCTGGAGTAGAATGATTCTTCTCTTTATATTATAAAACCCCAGTTCTTTTAGCTAAACAATCCAACAGAGGCATGCTTTAGTCATATTTTCATCATCTCGTTTTCTGACTCTAACATCCCCATGAGTAGAGAGAGGATTATTTGTTATGGGTTTATACAGCCAATAGAGATGCTTGAACACTATTGAAAAGATAATGTAGACCCAGCCCTGGCATTTACAAAAGAGAAAAGTTCAGGATTTCTGGGCTGGAAGATAAGGCATATAGAAAAATAAAATCCTAGAGGGTTGCACACATTCCCTAGACAGGGATATCTTTAAACTCGAAACTCTGTTAAGATCTGTGGATGGATTTCAATGGTTTATGCTCACATAGAATGCACAAAAATTGTTAATAGACATCATTTTATGAAAAGAGGTATTTTTCTTTCTATTATCAGTGGTATCTTTGATCTCCAAGTGTTTATGGAACTATTGCTTGAAACTAACCCATAACAGCTGTGTAATGAGAAGGAAATGAAATTATATTCAACAAGATTAAAATCCTCTCTGATCTACATCCCAATATTGTGACTTTCTTTAAAAATATTTATTTATGCATACAGACTGGGGTACAGGCCAGAGGTGCAGGGGTGGTGAGAGGATTCACCAGGGACAGAGTGGGGAACAGAACAGGCAGATCCACGAAGTACACTGCTGAGGGGAGTAGTGGGCGGGTCAGGAGAGGTCTGCCATGCCATGTGGTCACCTCCGGGGTGGGGATTGAACTCAGGCTGAAGTGGCATTAGTTTCTTAGTGCTGTGTTTTAACCCGCTGCGCCACCAGGGAGAGCCCCAATTTTATGACTTTTAACAAATTACCTGGTCTTTCTAAAACTCAGATCCACCTTGTATACAATGAAGACAGCATCATTCTCACAGCAGGATGTGAGGATTCAGTGAGAGGTGGATAAGAAAGTGCCTTCTTCACAAATCGGAGAACATAATGCTCTATACCTTAATACTGAGATTAACTCATTGTTTAATAACTGTGGAGTGTTTTTTTTTTCATTTATGAGCTATTTGATTTCAAAGGAAATATGTGTCGATTCAAATATCTCTTCCAGATTGGAAAGCAGGGTACAGGCCATTCCCCACATTCTGGGCCTTGCTTATCACATTAAGGAGAAAGACATGTGGAAGGCAGTGGAAGTCTAGAGTAGGGTGGGCTGGGTTGAAAAGTCAAGGTTTGCCACTTAAGACTGGTCACATGTCAGCTGGGAAAAGTAAGGAATATCGAGGGAGGCCAGGATGAATTAGTATTTGAGCAGAAAGCAACAATAAAGCAACAATCAAGAATGAAAGTATTCAGGTGAATTCCTTGTATTGAACTTAAAATAAATATAGCAGTTCTTCTATAAGAACTTCTTCAAGAAAAACCCTTAAGGTCTTTGATTCAGAGACCTGTCTTCATTTTCTAGGAAGGAAGCGGAAGCTCAGAATGAGCACTGGGATTTCCCAGCATGCATGGACAGCAAGAGCTCAGACCTGCCTGCTCCAGTGTGCCCTTTGTGGCATGCCACCTGGTCCTGTTCCAAGCAGGTGAATCTGTGATGATCAGGAAGCCATCGGCCCATGACAGATGAGAGGCTGGGCTGACTCTGAATAGTGATTGCTCTCAGCTTTTTTTCTTACCTACTTGGATGGATGACTCTCCCGTGCCAGGAATGCACACGGGCTCATAAAGACTTTCTCTCACTGTTGCAACCACAGCGCAGGTTCTTTTCTCAACCACTCAGTAAAGTATATGAGCAATCTCATCAGTTGAAAGGCCTTCATTCCCCTCTGGATTATATATAATCAAGACCATTCAGAATGTGAATTTGCAACTGCCATGATGATGAATACATTGGTCATAAGGAAGCTGGAGTAGTTATCAGTACTTTCCTGTGGATCAACGTGGCAACCAAGTGCTTCTGCACTGGGAGCAATAATGGTGCAGCTTGCATACTTACAGGTTTTCATGACAAAGCATGCAGGGATTGCTGTATGTCTGGCCATCCTCGCCACAGACATAATCTAAATTCTTTGGGCAAAGGTAACCCATCCGGGGCATGACTCGGTAGTCTTTGCACATATTAGAATCCTGGAAGAAGTAAAATATAAATCAAATTTGTTTAATGGCCCAAAGAGGGATGGACATGTGATAATCTTTTCATTTTTTTCAATCATATTTCAATAATGACTAAAAAAGGAACTGTAATTTAAGCCATATGCCTTAGTGTATTTATTTCACATAATTATTAGCTAGATTTAACCCTTGGATTTGTCCTTCTTTTGTTAGGAAAGATAAATAGCTAATTCCAGAAATAAGGGAGAACAAAGCCAAAGAAAGCAGAAGCCTTAAGTGATAGTGAGCAGAGATAAACTAAGGAGTACCTGTAGGAACAACACTAGGATGGTAGTCATGTAAGAAATCAAATGCTATCCAAAAATTAACAAAGATGGAAGAAAATAATAAAATAAAATAAACACAGAGAACCCAAAAAAAAAAAAAACAAGAAGGCATTGTTTATATACAATCTAGAAAGTTAGACTTAAAGATTAAAAACCAATTAAATGCATAGATTTTTGAGTCCCAGTTCTGCTCTTATAAGCAGAGAGGTGATTTACCTAACTTCTCTGCCCCTTAGTTACCCCACCTGAAAACTATGAATAATAGCTTTTCCTCATGTAGTTGTTTTGGGGGATCAAACCAGTAACACATTTAAATGACTGGAACGTACTAAGTGTTCAGCAAAGTATCAGTTGTCAGTGTGGTTCAAGGTAAAAATATGTATATATTTTTTCATGTAGAAGAAGGAACAAACTTGCTCTTTGCAGTCTCTCTGGACACATATCCAACAACCACAATTTAATGATCAAAAAAGGTAGAATAAAAGAAAACTGGAGAAAAATTTTAAATGATATTATGGAAGACCTAAAGTCAACTGTGCTAGTAATTACATTAAATAGTAATAAGACAAACTACTCCAGTTAAAGAAAAGAGAATATTAGAATGAAAAAAAAAAGACCCAACTATATAATGTTTATAATAAGTGTCCTTTAAAAGAATCTTTAGATTTCAAATAAGTTGAAAGTGAAATGATGGAAAATGCAGAGATGGTAGGAGGCAGCTCTTGCCTTTCCCTGCGTGCTGTCAGAGTGCCTGGTGCCTCTGCCACTCTGGGGGCCACCTGGAAGCTGCTGGGATGCAAGACGTGACTACAGTGGGGTGGGTGCGAGAGCTCAGCTTTGGGTTGGTGGTTTGCAAACACAGGGCATCCCTTTCTTTTTTGTAAACCGCGCATCAATTCTGAATAAATTCCATTGACTGTAGAATAGTGCAGTCCCCAGCCACGTCACACCATCTCCACCAGTACCCCCATGGTATAAATCGCATCATCACATCTGTGATTCACTGCTGCTGCTAACCAGCTCCCTAACTTTTGCTCTTACCAGGTATTTTCAGTACAGCAAGTAGAGTTATTCTTTTAAAACACTTATCAGAACATGACACTCTTTTCGAAACCGTCACTCAGAAGTACAGCCAACAATCTTAAAAGGGTCTATAAATTCTGACATACCATGGCCTTACTTTAGTGTCTTTGTCCTCTCTAGCTCTCTCTGAGGTCATTCTGCCTCAATTACACTAGACTCTGCCTCCTTTGATTCCTTCCTCTGGGTCTTGCTGGCCCTTTACTTGGAGTGCACTCCTCTGAACATCTACTCATAAGGAATTAATCCTTTTATCCTAGAAGCAAAAGTCACCTTCACAGAAAGCTCTTTCCTGTAGAGGCTACTTAAAATGGCACCCTTCACCCATTCCAACATTTACTAAATCACTATTCCACATTATATTTCCCTTAAGAATAGATTTTGCTCTTTCACATTATCTGTTATTTGTGTCCTTTCAATATAAACTCTATGAGCATAGAGGTTTCTGTGTGTTTTGCTTATGGATCTTCTTCTCGTACATATAAATAATGTCTGAGAAATAGCAGGTGCTCAGTAAATATTTGTACAGTGAATAACTGGATGACAAGATGAATTATGAATGTGTCTCCAAGAAAAAGCTTAGCTTAAAACCAAACTGTGCAAGAGGAAGCATGATGGAATTTCTAGTTTGTTGGTGATATTTTCTTTCTTTAGTTAGGTGCTAATGTCATAGGTGTGACCACTTTGTGACATTTCATTTTGTTACACAATTATGATATATGTACTTTCCACATGACTGAAATTTCAGGAAATGTTTTTTCTAAAAACACAATTTGTTACTCATAAAAGCCAAGACATGAAAACGACTTGTGTCATCAGTGGATGAACAGATAAAGAAAATGTGAAAGACTCACACACATGTAGTATAGAGAGAATAGTATATATTCTACTTAATGGAATTTTATGTAATGGACATTTTATTTAATAGAATACTATTCAGCCACAATCAAGAAGGGAGTATTGTGACTACCTGAAAATCCTGGAAATACTGCCCCATTATCTGGATAATGCCTTGAGGGCATTATGCTAAGTGAAATAAGACATACAAAAAATTTACTGTGTGGTGTCACTGATTTGAGCAATCTAAAAATGTTAAACTCATAGAAACATAGAGCAGAACAGTGTTTACCAAGGGTGGGATTGGGGAAAATTAGGAGATTTCTGTCAAAGGGTACCAACTTTCACTTATAAAATAAGTTATGAGGATGTAATGTATAGCACAGTGACAATCATACTGTAATAGAAAGTTGCTGAATGAGTAGATCTTACATGTTCTCACCACATACAAAGAAATGGTAATTATATAAGGTGAGGAAGTGTTCGCTAATCTGACTTTAATGATCATTTTGCAGTATTTAAGCCTATCAAATCAGAACACTGTATACTTTAATGCAGTGTTTTATGTCAATGATATCTCAATAAAGGGGAGGAAAAAAGATTGAAGATTTATGCATAGCACAAATATTGTGCTATGCATAAATCTTCAATCACAAATATTGCTAACTTCCTAGAAGTCTGTAATGAGCATATATTTCACTAATGCAACTTATCTATTATCCTATTTTAATTGGGTAATAATTACATGAAATTCCTGTTTGATACCTTTCTTCTTTATTGGGTCATCAGCCTAGATGCTAGCATTTTCTTTTCTGAAGCCTAATCTGAGATTCTACTTCATGAATATATTTCTTGTGTTCACTCCTTTCCTCCTTTCTAATCCTTACCTTGCCAGAGCTCTAAAGGAATTATTTGATTAGATCATTTACACTAAGGAAAAAGTACTGATAATTGCCAGACAGTATTTAAACAAAAGGTTTTGCAACTGTGAATCGCAGATTGGTGGACAGTCACGAGGGTAAACGTGCCCACCATCACCCTTTGGGGAGGGCAAGTGAGAGGAAGTTGGATATGGAACCTCTTTCGTTTGCAAAAATCACAGAATTGAGGTTCCCAACTACTTATCTGACTATGTATCACACTGGTTCCAGACTCACTTTAAAAATTTCAAAAGTGGACTTTTACATAAAAGTAGAATCTCATAGCACAGAATAATCCTAGTCAAAGAACTCTTGCTACTCGTAGGACTGAGGCCATACTCAATTAGCTTTCCTGCATCTTTCCAGGGAAAAGAAGTTCATGGGGTAAGTGGCAACACACCTCCAAAGTAAGCAAATTCAATAAACAAATAGCCCCTTACAAATCCTCATTCTTACCAGAGATGAATTGGGGGCATCTGGGCTGATATCCTCTTCAGAAGACCTAACTTGGGATAGCTTTTCACTGGCTTCTTGTTGACTAGAGAAGACAACAAAAAGTAATTTAAAGTTATAGTCACAAAGACCGCCTTCTCTAAATTCTTGGGGTAACTTAGCAATTCTTTTTTTTTTTTTAAGATCTATTTATTTATGCATATAACTAGGGTACAGGCAAGAGCTGCAGGGGTGGTGAGAGGACTCACCAGAGACAGAGCGGGGAGCAGAACAGGAAGATGGATCAAGTACACTGCTGAGGGGAGCAGCTGGCCAGACAGGAGAGGTCTGCTGCACTATGTGAGTCAGCACCCTGGCCAAGATGGAACTCGTGCTGCAGTGGCTGCGGCTTAGCATTGCTATGCTTTAACCTGCTGCACGACCAGGGAGGGCCCAGGAAGTTAAGCAATTCTAACATGATGACAGACCCACAGAAAGGTCAGTCAGAGAGTATCCAGCATGGTGTGGGAAGAAATACACACAAGGGAGAGTTGGTGTCAAGTTCTCATCACTTAGTATCAGATGTGTGACCTTGACCAAGTTGCTTAAAGTCCTAGAAATCAGATTTCTCACAACATACAAAATGGTAGCACAGGCCATTTCTAGTTCACAGAAATATTTTATGAGAAGGGAAAAAACACTGAATATTATAGTGATCATGGAGGTTTTCACAATCATCATCATGACCCAAATATGGTTGTTCCACAGGATAAGTTATAAACCTTTCTAACAAATCAATTCTTAGGTGTGGAGATCCTATATAATGTGATTTTTTAAAAGATGCTTGATCAGGTTGTAGAATAGAGGCCTCTTTTAGAAATCTGATCTTGAGAGATGAAAGAAATGATTTTACTCCAAAGCTAGTAAATCTCATAATTAGAATTTACATCTGGATTTTCCAAGTCTAAGTTCTGTATCAGGTGTTCTCAATGTAAGGGTCTTGACTGAAAAGACTTACTTACAGGATCCCAAGGATTCAGAAACACACGTTTATTTAATGAGCAGTTTCTGAAAATGCAGCTCCCCTGCCAGCTGAAGGAGGAACAGAATCCTCTTCTTTATTTTTTAAGTTGTAAAAACAGGTAATTTTGGTCTCCTATTCCCTTACCCACTTTCCGTCATGCTAACAACTCAGAGTCCTATCACAAATCACACAGACAAATTAACCTTGTTACAATATTATTAATTAAATTTACAGGACCTACTCAAATTTCACCGATATCTCAGTAATGTTCTTCTCCTGGGTCTAGAGTTCTGGCTTCTTTCATAGCACTTAGTAGTAACATATGTAGTGTTGTGAACCAATATTGCTTCCAAATCAGGTGCAAAGGGTCAAATGTATGGTGAAGGACAGAGGTAGAGTTTGGGGGCTAAACTTCCATAGACTCCCCACATGGACTAGAGTGATGTGCCCCTGAAACTGAAATGATGTGACTTCCATGAAAAAAACCCTCTCAGGGAAGCTGCCTTTTTGACGTCAGTCAGTCACATGCAGTGACATCATGCGCACGCACGCGATGGCACCTCTACTCACAAGGCAGCTCTGCACATGTGGCACTTGTTTTTGTACAGCTTTCCGTCCACACCACGCACCGGGTCGTTCTCGCGAGTGCACAGCAGCTCATTGTTGCCGGAGGTTGCTCGGAAGTTACTGCACTCATCCTAGAAGGTGAGAAAGGAGGCGTAACCTGGCTTTTCCCTTCTTGACCGGGTGGTTTTCCCAAATGTGGTCGTAGGAAGGCTGCCCCGCGCCTGGGCTCAGACTCACTGGACTAATGCTGGCGATGGAGGCCAAGGAACGCTCAGACTGTCTAAACCTCGCGCGCTCCGGCTGGTTCTGGGCCTCTCTGCACTGGTCCTGAAAGGCAGGGGACAAAACAACACTGGAGACTTGGCCTGCTCCCCCTTGGTGCTGAGAGACAAATAGAAAAGGCAGACCGCGCGTGCATACTGACTCTTTGAAGCTGGGACAATCATCTGGAGAATACAGACAACAAGACTTGCAGGACAGAAGCTAGAGGGGGGATTGATTGGTTCATATGAATTGTTTTAAAACCACTTTCCCATTTAAAGTGTCAGAGATAAGCAGGCAATTGAGGTGTTTGCTCTCTATTTTCAATCAGTTTCTCCCAAAGAGAGACTGAAGCAGTAATTGGCACACACACTTTGTTCACACTTAATACAAGTGAAACATTAAACTTCACAGCCAGAATGGAAATTCTCTTACAACCCAAAGTGATAAAGTCAATTTTACTTGAAGCAAAAGCATCTTAATTATCCCCAAACTGGAAGAGAATGCAAGATTCTGAGGAGGAAAGGTAAACAGTTTCTCAGTATCTTTCAGGAAGTAACCTTTGCATCATTTAGGGCCTGGCACTTACTTTTCCTTCATCATTCATTTTCCTTTCATTAGCTTCTCGTTCGCTGCAGAATTAAAAAAAAAAAAAAAAGGTAGTTTTCTAAGGGTTATTATTAACCAAGTATCTCTGCAATTCTAAGCAGCCAATCCAATACTATTTTCATATAACTATATAGATATATCTATATATATGTAGCTGCTGGAATCATCATGATATAGTTGTGGCAATGCTATCAATTCTCATAAGTGCAGTTACTATACCATCATTCATGATGATTGGTTCCCCTCAATATTTTATGGCTTGCCTATGCAGTTGCATCATTTTTCCTTCTCTTCTTAGAAAACGATGACTGAATTCTCCAGGATGAACTGCCCTTTCCATAGTTACAGAGTACACACACATATTTTATAAGACATACCCTAAAGCCCACAGAACTGTATGGCATTGCCTCATTCCCTTTATGCAATCTGTGGGAGGATTGTGGCTTTGCAAACCAGGTTATGAGCGACTAATCTTTACTCTTTGAAAGCCAACAATTTGGTCCCTTTCACAAGCTGTCTTGCCATCCCAGATGCTACAGGTGTGAGCATGCTTTTTATCATCAAAATAACCATTTCCTGCTTAAGTGCTTTGGAAATGTCCTGTCTTCTTCTCTAGTGAGGAACTATGTAGGTATATTTAAAGTAAGACCCCAAGGACTTTTAAGTGTTCACTTAAGAGGTGCTATTTTCTGGCAAGCAGGTATCACATGTCACACTAAGCAATAAAGTCGATCACATACAAGATGCTCTGGCACATGGCACACTTGTTGACGTGTATCTTGCCATATGGACCGCGAATCGGGTCATTTTCTCTAGTGCAGATAAGCCTTCCCTCTCTCACCAAGCTCCGGAATTCATGACACTGATCCTGTCATTAGAGGAATAAAAAACAAAAACAGGTTACTTTGGCAATCTGAGTTTTAGAACTAAATACAGGATTTGTTAAATATAAACTCATGGCCCTCCTGGTGGCACAGAGGATTAAGGCACAGCACTAAGAAGCTAAAGCCACTTCAGCATGATTTTAATTCCCACCTGGTGCTGACCCACATGGCATGGCAGACCTCTCCTCACCCACCCACTGCTCCCCTCAGCAGTGTATTTCAGTCTGTCTGCCTGTTCTGCTTCCCACTCTGTTTCTGGTGAATCCTTGCAACGCCCCTTCATCTCTGGCCTATACCCCAGTTCTGTATTAATAAATAAATTTTTTAAAAATTTATATATATATATATATATATATATATATATATAAACTCATTAACACTTGAGTGAGAATAAATCCTAGAGAAATGACATTTTTTTAATAGTAATAGTGGAATGTTTTAATGTGCTTTCTCCAGCCTCTGCTTTAAGAGTGTGAATCCTTTCCCTAGCACCCACCTGAACTTGTCCCAGTGGAATTTTACTAATATATGGGGAAGCCCATACCATTTTAATACAATTTTCTAGTAGGTTGAGCCATATTCATTACTACACCCAGAAAAAGTCATAAATGAACACAAAGGCATTCTTTTGGAAAGACATATAAACATGTAAACTCTTAGCATTGCTTCTCATTAAAGGCTGAACACAAAGCATCACATTTGTATCACAGATAAGATGTCATGTGCTCTGGAGTCTGACTTTCCTTAAGCTGGCAAATATGTGATCAGAGATCTAGTAACTACCAGGCTCTCCTGCTTTTCTTCTTGGCTTTTACCTGGCAAAGAGTAAAACTCTGCCTTTTGAAGAAGAGGGACTTGTCTTTTTTGTTCAATTTTGAAAATAAGAAACTTAAAGAGAAGCCAGTGGAAATAAGTCCACAGGAACTGACCTCTCTTGAAATCTTTGGCCAGCTGCGGAATTTGTCTTGAACTTCCTTTGAGCTCAAAGATCCAAAGCAGAGACAGGGGAACGTGATCTTAGAAAATACTGCTACTTTTTAGATGATGCTTAGTAGTGGTGTTATTATTATTATTATTATTATTATTTGTCAGTTTAGACCTAACAAAAAGTTGCCTCATTAATGGGAAAGCCTCCCTGGGGAAATTTAATATTTGGCTTTTGTCATTGGAATTCAGTCTATGAGTTGGTGTTGATGAGCATTTTCAAAGTCTAAAACTGAACACTAGGTGGCACTGGAATGCCAAGAGTTTATCATCTGGAGCTCCATGTTTTTTTTTTTTTTTTTTTATATTTGCTTTCGTGCCAGTGATTTTGGATCTATTTGCTTGATTATTTGTTTTAAAACTTCAGAAAAGGAATTCACTTGATAACAACAATGACTTGACCATTGTAACTGGTCCTATAGATATGTGAAAATTGCTTCAGAGTTGTTCCAGATAGCATGCTGTTCCCTTGCAAGATCTGGCCATATCTTTCTTGTTTACTACGACTGGGCAGAGTGGGCCGCGTATAAATATTTGGTGAATAATTTAGCCATACCATCAACTACCCACATTTAAGTATTAACATGCATAACATATATTACCTTGTTCGTATGGTCTGTGTTTCTTGAATCCTCCTCTTTCTTTTTTTTTTCAGCTGCTTCCCGCTCCCTGGAAGTAAAAAGACATTTTTGCCAAAGTAAACAAACTCTTCATTTATTACAAAATCTGCTTTTTTAAAAATGTGATTTTTCTCAGATTGATGAGAAATTATTATTATACTATAAGACCCACAATTTCAGGTTCATTAAAAAAAAAGACTCACAATTGTTTTTTACACATAGCACACTTATTGCCATGTGTCTTGCCATTTGGGCCCCGGACAGGGTCGCTTTCTCTGGTGCAGATAAGTTTTCCATTTTTCATTTGAGATCTAAACTCATCACATTCACCCTGAAAATAGAGAAAGGTTATATTAGATGTATCTGTATTGATCAATTTTGATCATATCTGAAATCTTAAGATCTTGACTCCAGAATCAGGCAGCCTCTAACCCTGCTGAGGCAGTAAGACCTCCAGGTTCTAATTTTTGGGATCTGTGAGGATGTTGCTGAACAAGAAGGAAGAATTAAGGTAGAATAGGGTTAAGATTGCTAATAAGCAGTCTTCAAAGTGGAGAGATTATTCTGAATTATCTGGGTGGTGCCAGGTTCTTATGAATGAAGAGGGAAAGTGGTGGGGTATGGGGGTGGGGTCGGTGCAGCTTGAAAAAGATTCAACTGACCACTGCTGATTCTGAAAATGGCCATATAAAGCAGGGGAGGCAGACAGGATCTAGCAGTTGGGAAAAACAAAGAAACAGGCCCTCCCCCAGCACCTACCACTGCTGATTCTGAAAATGGCCATAAAGCAGGGGAGGCAGACAGGATCTAGCAGTTGGGAAAAACAAAGAAACAGGTCCTCCCCCAGCACCTACAAAAGCTACTGACAGCTGGGTCTTAATGCAGCAACTTCCCAGCTACAGAAACGTATAAACTGAACATAGGTTGTTTTAAGTCACTAAAAGTTGTAATTTCTTATAGCTGCTGAACCTCATAGTTCCCATCTATGAAATATGGTTAAAAAAAAAAACACACCAACTTTATTTGGCCAAACTCACTTGAGAGAATTAAATACACTATAAAAAATTATGTCTTTCTGGTGGTGCAAGATTAAGTATTGGCATTCTGAAGCTGTCAGCAGCCACCGCAGCAGGAGTTCAATCCCCAGCCAGGGAGGTGACCCCCATGGCACAGCAGACCTCTCCTGACCCTCCCACTGCTCCACTCAGCATTGTATTTCAGTAGATTCAGCTGTTCTGTTCCCCACTCTGTCTCTGGTGAACCCTGTCACCTTGCCCCTATACCTCTGGCCTACTCCCCAGATCTTATATGCATAAGTAGATACATTAAAAAAAAACCTATAAAAATTGCTGTGGAGTATTAGATTCAATGATTTACATTTAACAAAGAATTTCTACATCAAACAAGTTCCTAGTGATGTTGTACTATGCACACTGCTGATGGTTTCTGGTTTCTTGCCTTCCAAGGGCAAGGTCTTGGTTGGCCACACAGACACCCCTTTCCATATTTTTGATAGCCAAGTGTTGATTTTACACAAAGACCATTTTGACCAACCTTGATAATAAGTTACCTTTCCTGATGCTGATTCAGTCCCATTTGATCTATTGCCAGAATGCTTATTTCTTTCCTCTTGTTCTTTTTGTCTGGAAGAGGAAAGAGTCAAGAATCATTTTGTTAGCACATACACAGGCTTGGAAGGAGCCACACAGTTTATGTATCCTACACCTCCTCCACACAGAGCTTTCTGTACTCTCAAGACAGCTCCATTATCAAGAGGCATCCTCCATCCAAGGTAGCTATTGGAGGGCGATCAACCCATTACACAGTACGTCTTATATTTGTCCAAATGTGGATAATGTCTACCCTTTAGGTCTTAGCTCCGAGGACCATACAGAACAAGTCTGCTGAAGTCCTGATATTAATCCTTCAGATATTTCAAAGCAAACTTCAGGTCTCCTGGTCCAGCCTTCTCAGTTCTTTCACATTTGCAAAATTAGTCATGGTTTTTAATTACCCCCTACTCACCACTCTAGTTTTTTGATTTGTAGATTAACCCACTATAAGATTGTTTCTCAAACTATGAAGCTCAAGGTGAACAAAAGAAAAGTAATCTAGAATGTTCCTTAGGTTCTACTTAGGTTCTAATCTCTCTACCTTTCTGATAACAGTGGTCCCTAAGTTTTCTTGTGCATTATCCTTTGATATTTTTTGACAACATATGGATTGGCAATTTGGTGACTTCATATTTAACAAGCAAGTCAGGTGATTCTGATGTAGTTGGTTCAAGTTCCAAATACTACTAACCACTAGTACATGTTTCCCTTCAAAGTTATATTTGGCTTTGCACACAAAAATCAATATATATATATATTTCTTCCCATATTATTTATTACATTAATGGCATTAGTGTCATTATTAATTATTAATGACAAAAAATCCTCAAGTAACAAGTCTAATCACTGAATTCATATTCACAGGTTTCATTTTATTCCTTTAGAAGAGTTCCTTTTGAGCACATGAGAAGATGAGAAGTAGGGAAGTAGTAATATACCTAACTAGCCTGAAGATTCAAGCAAATATGAAGTCTTGAAATTTTAATCAACTTAACCTGTGGAAAGAGGGTATCTAGGATTCAGTGTGGTAGAATTTTAGGTATAGTCATGTTCTATTACTCAACCTCCAGTGGCCTCTGACTAGATAGAGAATAAAACTCAATATATCCTTATTTTGACCTAAAATCCCCTATATGACTTTTCCAAACTCTTTTTCTACAATTCTCATGCAATCTCCTTGAGACACTATGGCCTCCTCTGTGTTTCTTGAGTTTGCTAACTTCATGTCCATACTCAGACCTCTACATTGGCTCTTGCGCCATCTGAAACTACCTTCCAGATACCCCCCACACTTCATTTTTCCAGGTCTCCTTCACATGTCAAGCCTTCCCTGGATACCCTGAGCAAAGTAGGGCCTCCCGTGGCTTTCTGTTATATAAATCTATATCTTTTAGACATGCCTGTTGAAAGAAGCACTTACAGTATGTCTTTACACATGGTGCACTTATTGTTATATGATTTGCCATTAGCATCACGTACAGGATCACTCTCCCGAGTACAGCTGAGTTTGCCATTTTTCATAGTTTCCCGATACTCAGCACATTGGTCCTGAAAAGGAAGCATAGAGCAGGCTTACTGAATCACTTGTCTGCATTGTTAAGTTTTCTAGCATAAGAGGAGCTCATCTACCTCCTCTTAAGAGGAATGTCTGCATCTAACAATGCTGTTTACAGAGAAAGAGGAAGGGAAATTGTTCATATGCTAAGAGGTCAGTGGTCACGGTAAATAATGTTGCTTTTAAGGTTCTACACTAGAAGATCATAAAGTTGGCTGGGGTTTAATAGTTTAGATTAAAGGTAGGCAAAGGATAAGCAACCAACTTCTCTATCCTGATGCCTATTATATATCATGATGTATCTGTATAGATATAACTTGAAATGCTTTCTCATGGATACATTCAGGTATTTTTTATGACTGCCCCCCAACAATAGTGGCAGAGCTAAATGGCTGACACCGAGGTCTTATGACCCACAATACCTAAAATAGTTGCTATTCGGTTTCTTAAGGAAAACAAAACAATTGCTGACCTCTATTGTAGATAGAAGGGAGAAAGACATGCTGGAAGTCAAATGCAAAGCTGTCCAAAGACCAAGAAAGACAGTATTGAACAAATCACAGAAAAAAAGAGAAAAAGGGTATCAATGGTCTCTCACTTGAGAGTGGGAACTCAGCTCCTAAAGAAGAAAAAAATGGAAAAACAGAAAGGCCAGTCGGTAGCTCACACTATCTGATGCCAAACGTATTCTCTTTCAACAATTAGACCGCCTGGATGATCCGAAAAACTTTCTAGAATTCCAGAAAGTTGTTCCATTTAGGAAAAAGAGAACAATTAAAGTGAACGAGGAGCTGACAAGAGGCAGGCCTGCACATGCGTTCTCCTGTGGCTGGCAGGAGAGTTCGATAATCATGAAGAAGGGTCAGGAGACTGCCATCAAGTCCGATTATGAATTATTATTTTTAGGGTTATAGAAGTTAAAAATCTCTAGCCACCCTAAAGACTAGACTAATTGCTCCCTAGCAATTAAAAGTTGCTGCTATGTCACCCTACTACCTCAAAGGGAATGCCTGTGTTCTTCCAAAAAAGCTTTCAAACTCAGCCCCTGGTACACTTGCCTTTGATCAGAGATGGACCACAGTCCGGCCCAGACAGCCCCTGGCCATGAGGCTAGAGGTTATGCGTACCTGAGCTTTCCCTCCGCCTCCACCACTGGAATGGTGCTCCCTGGCATTTCTCTGATTATCCTCTTCTTTTCTCTTCCTTTCTTCATCTTCTTTCTGGCTGGAAATTAGAAAGGGGGGAGGGGAGAGTAGGAGATTACAGGGAGTGGCATCCACCTCTGAGAAACACAGAGGTGACCAAACTCCATTTGTATGAAAGTCAACCACATTTATCGAACTCCAGTACTGGCTCTCATCTCTGAAAATAAAATAAGGAATGACGCAGAGGTCTTTTGTCTTGAGGAGCTCTCATGGCAGGAGAAGAAACCTAACATTCATGTAACCACAGCCCAGGGAGCAAGTCTGAGCATTTCATAAATGCTCCTCTTAAGTCTCAGCTGCATTTTTCTCACATAATCCATATCCAGGAGGTTCCAAAACAATTCTCTTCTTTGCCATGGAGAACTTTTGCACTTAGTCATATATTATTTATTTCTGAACTAGGAGTTGTGGGTTTTATGAATTAATGTGAAGCTAAAAGTCCTCTTGGAGTCCCTGCCTTTCACAAAGAATGGAAGGCTAGAGTTACCTCTAAGTGCTCACAGCTGGTGCCACCTGTCACTGAACCACCTCACACTGCCCTGATGTCCGTCTGCTCCCCTCTGTCCCACTTCCCTGGCTCTACTTACTTCTTGCTGGATTACTTCAAACCCCTACCACCACCACAAACATGCTGAATTCAATCCCTGCTTTTCCCTTTTTTTTTTTATGTCGACATACTTATGGCACTTAATCTCCTACTGGCAAAATTTGAACCGTACCCATGATATGTAGAATTTCCTTTGGAATCTTTGATCTGGCATTCAAAGCTGTGAAGTGTTAAGTCCTAATTAAATGATTAGGATTTGAATGATTCACTCTTCAGGTACTACAGTTTTCTTAATTTTCAATTCATCCTACTCTTTTCTTCTCAGTCCTTCTTGCACTGTCTGATTCATTCGCTCCATAATGCTTTCGATGAGGCCTTTCCTCAAGTACCATGCAAACTGCCTCCATCACTTTTCATTTAGCCATCCCTCCTGTGTATTACCCTAACTATGTTCACATCTAATCTCCAGCAGACTCTATGATTTCTGAGAAGACTGTTCTATTCATCTTGCTTAATCACTATAGACATTGTACATTGGAGATGTCCAGGAAAACGTTATTGAATTTCTTAAACATCTGAAGTCTATTCCCGAACTTTGTATACACAGTTACTTCTCATTTCCTGAAAATATATTTTAAAAAATGTAGCTAGAAAAGTTAGGTTGACAGAAAAATCTGCGTATTTTCTTTCTAATGATCCAGAGAAAAGATTCATCCAGCAGCAAAGATTTAAACTTCTAGCAAGAAAGACATTATGGTCTATTGATAGAATCTATCCTCAAACTAATGGAGAACTTTTTCACTTAGTAATATATTATTTATTGCTAGAACTATGAGTTGTGGCTTCTATGAATTAATGTTAAGCTAAAAAATGCTTTACAGATAATCATTATTTGCTTTTATATTAAGAAAGGAGCAGCACTGTGTGGTGTCTTCCTAGCTCTGCCAGCCTGCAGGAGGTTTCATCTGTATACTCACAACACTGCTTTGCACATGGCACACTTGTTGCCATGGGTCTTGCCATCTGGGCCACGCACAGGATCATTTTCTCGTGTGCAGAAAAGATTGCCATTTTGCAGAAGGCTCCGAAACTCACTGCATGTATCCTAAAAGGAAGAGAAGGCGCGAGAGTTTGGGTTTTTCATAGCAATGATTTTGTTGGGTTCCTACTAAGTGCTTCTTGAAAAGAAGAGAAAATGACATGTGGTTTTTTTCCCTCTGGTATTTGTTCTCTTCTACTCAGCACAGCACACATGATCTAGAAAGAGGCTGAGATTTAGCCCCCAAATCCAGACTGAACCTACAACCATGACCTCTTAAAAAGCTGTGGTCATAGTTCCTATTTTGGGCTCTGTTGTCCACGCTATGTCATGTCATGTTAGGCCATGTTTTGTTATGTTTGTATAAAGACCTTGTACATGTCATAGAATCAACACATTTTGGGTTTGGCTAGAATTTCAACATTCATCTGGTCCTACTATACACAGTCCAGCTCAATCCCCTCCACAGAATGCCTTCCAAGAGGGCGTCTGTTTGCATCAGAGCACCAGCATTCATCAGGAGTTCCTGACCTTCCAGAAAATTCACTTCAAAATTTCTATTGGATAGTTTCCACAGATAAGCTATTGGATTATGGGTCAGGGATCTTGGAAAATAAGTCCTATCAGTTCCGGAAGATCCCTACTCTCAGGGTTTCATATTTGGAAGATGTCACTGCAAGTAGGGTGAGGATGTCTTGCAGTCCAGCAAACAAAGTAAAAATATTTTACTTCCCTCAGTGAAATTGAGGATATTTTTATGCTTCCTCATGAGAGGCCTTCAGATTCTGGGAGAAAGCCTTCTTGTTCAACTACTTTACCTGATTAGGTTCTTTTTCACAAGCTAACCACAGGCAGCCACTTCATTCTAATTCAATCTTTTGTCCCAATTCTCATTCTGGCTCTTCCCCGTGTATAAGAATGTAATAAAATATTTCAGGTTCTGGCACAGTGAGCAAAATAGGGCAATGAGATCATATTGGATCATACTGCTAGGATTCCAACCTGCCACCAAGACATCTTGGATGCGCCTAAGTTACCTCACTTATAAAATTAAAATAATAACATTTATTCCACAATTTCAGAATTATAATGGTTGATGTGTATCAAGTATTCAGCTTACGTCCTAGATTGTTGTGAGAACAACATGAGATATGTATGTCTGCAATAACTAACATTTAGAAAGTACTCAGTAAATACTAACTCGAGTTATGTGAGGAATTGAGAGAGGATAAACAAACCACTTAAGATCATAGAGTTATAGAGTTATTTACTGCTGGTGTTCTGGATGGAGTTCCTCATCCTCTCTGAATCTTTCAGCTGAAGTTGAAACTCAGTGAGGAAAAGAGAGTAAATTTTTCTCTACTTCTGATGCAAGGTTTACTGCTGACCCCAGTGGGGTCATAATTATCAAAAGAATGGTGAAAGAAGGAAATGGTTCATCAATAGCAGTTAATGTGAAATAGCAACTGTTTCAGATGGAAGCGGCTCTCACAGATCTTGAAAAGCAAACCATTTTAAAATTCAGATTCACAATTGTGAGAAATACAACTGTAAGCAAAACCATCATACACATTCCAAGTGTGATTTTTTTTAGAAATCATTTCTAATATCAATAACCTTTGACAAGCGCAAGGAAATACCATAAATCTTGGCAAAAATGTACCTTTTAGAATCACAAAAGTATTATTTGGTGATGCTGGCACCAGAATATAATTAAAGGTAAAACAAAGAACATACAACTGATTTGACCAAATTCAGTGATATAAAAGCACCCATTTGTTAGGGTGAGTGCAGGATTTGGCATCAGGAACGGAGATTTGAATTCTGATGTTTCTACTTTATAGCTGTGGACACTTCGAAACATGAAGAGTGGTACCAATATACCACTAGCTTTGTAAAGAAGTTCTTCCCCTCTCAATTTGAAGTCTTCATTTTAAAATGAAGAAAGGAGTAAATCAGGGGTCTGCAAAGTATGACTCATACAAAATCTGTCCCTCTACCTTGGTAACTCAAGTGTTATCCAAATATAGTCCTCCTCTGTTTGCATATCCCCTTTGGCTGCTTCAAAGCTGGAATTCAGCAACTGTGACAGAGATGGAACGGCCACAACCTACGATATCTATTATTTAGCCTTATAAGAAAACATCTGTCAAGGCTAAATGAAGCCCGAGCTCCCTCACTTAGGTCTCCGGTAACTCCATGTGTTATTTTTACCAAGAAATTGCAACACCTCCCATGTTTTATTCTATTATGCCCCTTCCAGGACAACTACCATTTCAGCTTCTCTCTTTACTTTCACTCTGGATTCAGCTTCTTTTTTCTCCTTTGCTTCTTGCTGGCTGTAAGGGGAAGGAGAGGGACAGGGTGCTCAGCATCGTAGCAACCATATTTATTTATTTATTTATTTTTAAAGATTTATTTATTTATTCATACAGAACTGGGGTACAGGTCAGAGATGCGGAGGGTGAGAGGATTCACCAGAGACAGAGTGGGGTGGAGAACAGGCAGATTGATGAAGTACACTGCTGAGGGGAGCAGCGGGCAGGTCAGGGGAGGTCTGCCACGCCATGTGGATCTCCTCCAGCGCAGGCGGGAATCGAACTCATGTGGAAGTGGTTTAAGCTGCTTTAACCCGCTGCACCACCAGGGAGAGCCCAGCAACCATATTTATTTTAAGGAGAAATCATCTCTCTAGATAGAAACAGCCCATTATTTCTATCCCTCTACCAACTAAGTGCGGGAGAAGAAAGGCCACGGTTTCCTTCTCCAGATTGTTCTTGTTATTAGTGCTGTTTAAAGAATTAGACAGAAGGGCCCTCCCTGGCGGTGCAAAGGGTTGAAGTGCAGCACTATAAAGCTCTATGCAGCCACTGTAGCATCAGTTTGATCCTAGGCCAGGGAGGTGACCGAGTGGCAGACGGCTCCTGTTTCCCCACAGCAGTGCATTTCAGTCGATCTGCCTGTTCTGCTCCCCACTATGTCTCTGGCAAATCCTCTCAACCCCTGCACTCTGGCCTGTATCCCAGCTCTTGTATGCAGATCAGTAAACTGTCATGTCTACATTTCTTGCAGAAAATAAAGAGGTTGTTCTTCTCCCCAGAAAGAAGCTAGAACACTGACTCTGTGTTAAGAGATTATCACTGGTTAGCACCCAGTAATGAATACATACTTAGATTACTCTGACAGTGTGCATTCAGAGAGGGAAACTTCCACTCCTGTGTGCCATCAGCTCTGGGGAACCTGGTCTTAATACAAGGTCCTGTCTTGACACTGACTCAAGTAACTCTCAGAGCACTGAGAACACTAACAAGAAGTGAATTAAATATACAGTGGGTGTGGTAGCAGTGAATAGTTCCTCCATGCAACATGTTCTTCATCAGCAACCTAGAAGGGCCCCTCAGTAGCTCCCTCACACCACCTGCTGCCTTCTCCTGTCAGCAGCGGGGCTCTGCTTCTGGCTACTCACAAGAAGGCCTCACACATGGAGCACGTGTTGCCATGGATTTTCCCATCTGGGCCCTCAATGGGGTCATTCTCTCTGGTGCATGCAAGGCGACCGTTCCTTATGTAATTGCGGTATTCACTACACAGCTCCTGCCAAGTGAGGGAGGGTTTGATCAGAATGTTAAATGTTGGAAACCTGTTTCTGGAAAAAACAGAGTATGTGTGCAATGATCTTAAACAACTACCTGAACTGCTTCTCTCTTGACTTTCTCAGACTCAGCTTTTTCCTTTCCATTCTTGCCATTATTTTTCTTCTCTTCTTCCAGTTTGCTACAATAAATAAAAGAAGATATAAGTGAAATACAATCTCTCGATCTTTTTGGTAATGGATTTTAAGGAGGGTCTGGGTCCAGACCAAAGGTAGACTCAGTTTTCAGTACAAATGTATTCACTTCAGAAATGCAATTGTTTGGCTCAACCATCAGATCAATTTAGCAGCTTATAATTTCCCTTTGAAAAGTAAAACTCACATGCTCAGTTTGGTACTGTATGATCTTAATTCTATAGTTCTGTGACTTCACAAGTGATCTGCAAAAGCCACAATTGATGCTTTTTAAAACTGGGCCAAGTTTTCTCTAAATAACTATCATGTCAATGATGATAACAAGGGGTGACAGCAAGTTGAACAAAGGACCTATAGTAAAAATAAACAATACTTCATTGGGAAATCTTTCAGATGTACCTAAACCTAAGACTGGGCTCAGATGTGTGAAAATTAAAAAATAACAATAAAATCAAATCCATTGCAATTGATATTATTTAAATTTTTTTTTCTTAATTTTTGTTTGAGATTCTGTAGGGGATTAGGAATCTAGAAAGGAGGAGGTGGCAATAATCAGTTTCCATATTGCCCTCTTATCCCACTCATCAAATCAATGACCTATAAGGCCCTGGACCTGATGATGGGAAGACACTAGAAAACATCTATGACATGGGTCTGCCTCTTAAAAGTTTCACTGTCTCCACTAAGATCACTTGTTGTTCAAGTAATTTTCAAAGTCTTGACATACTGTTCCCACAGACTTCTGTCCAACTGGCTTTCCCTTAATCAATATATGAAAATGTTCACAGGATTAAAAAATGTTAGGCAGCAAGAGAGACCACAGAGATAATCCCATTCAGACCACCAAACTTCTGCTCACTCTTTGCTGTGACTGATGACTATCAAGTGTTAAAAGCATCTTGTCGCAAAACTGAAAATTTACTTAGGACTTTAGCAGGAGATAGAAGGATAACTGAGGCTGTCCCTGGTAGCACAACGGGTTAGAATGCAGCACTGTTAACTGGCCGTAGCCACTTCAGTGCGAATTCGATTCCCTGTCCGGAGGTGATCCACATGGTATGACAGACCTCTCCTGACCTGCCGGCTGCTCCCCTCAGCAATGTACTTCGTCGATCTGCCTGTTCTGCTCCCCATTCTGTCTCTGGTGAATCCTCTCACCACCCCTGCGCCTCTGGCTTGTACCCCAGTTCTGTATGCATAAATAAATCAATCTTTAAAAAACAAAAAGAAGGATAACTGAACAGAGAATAACACTGTCCTCTGTGATTTAATGCTACTTAAGTCCTGGGTGTATGCTTACAAAATTATGTACCATGCAACTCTGAGAAATGAGCAGAGTATACACATTTCTCAAGAAGCTGAAGGTCAGAAGTGACTGCTGGCGAGAGGTTTGCAAGGGTGGGGGACACTCACAACATGCTCGCACACATGGCACACTTGTTTCCGTGCATTCTTCCATCTGGCCCACGGACAGGGTCTTTCTCCCTGGTGCAGATAAGCATGCCATTCCTCACTTGGCTGCGAAATTCACCGCACAGCTCCTGGAAAATGAAGAATATATTTTCTTAGAGCAGTTTTCTATGCTTTCTGCAGCAGGATGAGGAGACAAAAAAAAATTGATTATATTTAGTGGTACAACAGTATTAATGTAATTTCTATCACAGTCCAGAATTGCCCTGGCACGGGAGTGAGTATTTATTAGGATAATTCTCCTGAAGGCAGGGTATAGAAGAAGACTGACAAAATTTGTAGAGACTCATGTAAAATATATATGTTTGTGTTGTGTTGCACACTGTAGTCATAAAGTCATGAAAGATCAAAGAAGACTTAACAAGCTAGCAGGTTTAAAGGTTTCCTGAAGGAAATGAGAATGTTGTGGACTTTTCATGAGAAGGAAGAAAATCCTTCCATTTTTACTTGGATGGATTTTGAGTACATTATGCTAGTTGTAGTAAGTAGAACCAAGATGCATGATATCACTTCCAATGTAAACTCTAAAGGAGCCAAACTTAGCATCACAGAGAGCAGAGTGGTGGGAACCGGGGCCTGGGAGTTAGAAGGGTTGGGGACTGCAAGATACTGGTCATGGCCTACAAATGTCCAGGTCATTGGCCACACATTACAATCTATATAGTAACATGACAAGTGTATCTCAATGGTGGGAGAACCATGAAATGACAACATTGTGCAAAAAGGGGACAGAATATTATTAAGCCTTGACTGGTCTTCAGAACGATGAGAAGGAAGAGCAAAAAACATGACAGAACAGGTAAGAGATGCCAAGAGAAAGTGACCCCTTTTGGGGCACTTCTTGGGAAAGTCCAGGGTGGCGGATGTAGATGTGAAACAGGAGAGCACTGAGAGGAGAGAAGAGAAGGGAAGGTTTAGAGCGATGGGGGAGTCTAAGAGAACTTGGCAACTGATCAGACATTAAGGATGAAATAATTTTCTAATTCTAAGTTATTAAAAAAAAAAGATAGCCCCAGCTAACATCAGTCATATAAATTAAAATTAATAAGTAGTAACCTAAGAAACCTCAAATGTGGGGACTATCTCTTACAAAGTAAATTACCATTCCACTTTTTAGGAAACAAACCTCAAAATGTGAATGATTAGGAAAAGAAATTGATATTCAGAATTTAGAATGTTTCAGAAAAATGGTGAACAAGACTCTTATTTTCAGGTTATGGTTTCCTTTGTTAATCTTGGGCATGAGAACTGAATCTCCGGCGAACATTCACGCCAATGAGATTTTAGAGAAAAAAATGTTGGTGCGTAACATGAACACTCCTGAGAAAATTACCTCTGTTGCTTGTCTTTTAGCCTTTGCTCTTGCTTTTTCTTCTTGTTTACTAGAAGATAACAGGGGGAAAAGGGAGAGAGAAAAAGAAATCATTCTCATGTTCTCGATGACTTAATATTTTTCATCAATAACTTGTGAAAACAAAAAGCCAGTTTCTTAGGATTACTATGAAGATCAAATGAGACTAGGTAGCAAAATTCTTAGCAGGTGCATGTTGATGTTACACACTCAAAAAATGTTGGTTTTCACGATGATAGGGCCATCATTTGATTCCATCTATTAAAACTTCATTGCTTCCCTGGTGCAAACACTGTGACAAATCTGTTGGGTTATGTTGCTTTCTACTGAGGAAGACTGAATGGTTGAATTCTTTCAGAGATTCTAAACATATATAGAATAAATAGGTGTATCCCTTGGGATAAAGATCCCAAGACTTAAAGATATCAAGAATGACTGGCTGAGGAGACAAATTAGGTCACCTAAAGTCATATTTCAATCTCCTCAAAGTGGGCACCCAATTCCTCCACAGCAGAGCCACCATTCCTGAAACAGGCACTGCCCACTTTGACTTCCATTATTGCAAAGTTCCCATGATGCCCAAATCTGTCTCCTGTAGCTCTCACCTATTTTAATTCTATTCCTTGAGGTTACACACAATAGTAGGAATAATGAAAGAAAATTGAAACAGTGAATAAAATTACTATGCATCTTACTGATATATTACATGTACTCTCATCCATATCTTATTGCAGTTGATAATCCTTTAAGAAACTAAGTCACTAGTCTGGTTATCTTATTCTTTTCTCTGACTAGAATATTTGGAGTTTGTCCTAGAATGTCCTAAAAGAAATTAGTCTGCATCTCTATTATTATAATCGTTATCAACTCAAAGCTCTCCACATGATTTTTGGGTTTATGATTATTTTAAGTTCATGTAAAGCAGCACCCCAAGCCAAGTGCTTCAGCGAAGAAGGACATGCATCTTCACGGTTATAGGGAAACCCCCTTAGAAGTTGCTCTCCCCACTAGAATCCAGGCACTACTCACAAGAAGGCCTCGCACATGGAGCAGGTGTTACCGTGCATCTTCCCATCAGGGCCCCTGATGGGGTCATTCTCTTTGGTGCACAGAAGCTGCCCATTCTTCCTGGATTTGCGGTATTCGCTGCACAACGCCTAGGAAGCCAAGGGAGGAAGGTGAAGTGCTAAACCCAGGTTTGGATCAGACTGCAAAAGCAGCAGTTTAGCAGCCTCCTTGGTGGTGCAAGGGGTTAAGCCTCAACACTATGAAGCTATCCATAGCTACTGCACCACGAGTTCAATCCCTTGCCAGGGAGGTGACCCACATGGCACAGCAGATCTCCCCTCATCAGTGTATTTTAGTCAATCCACCTGTTCTGCTCCCCACTCTGTCTCTGGTGAATCCTTTCATCCTTCACAACTCTGGCCTATACCCAAGTTCTTGTATAAATAAATAAATCTTTTTTTAAAAATAGCTGGAATTTGGGCCCTCCCTGGTGGTGCAGCGGGTTAAAGCACAGGACTAAGAAGCTAAAGCCGCTTCCACATGAGTTTGATCCCCGCCTGCCCCGGAGGTGATCCACATGCTGTGGCAGACCTCTCATGACCCTCCTTCTGCTCCCCTCAGCAGTGTACTTCATCAGTCAGCCTGTTCTGCTCCCCACTCTGTCTCTGATGAAGCCTCTCACCACCCCTGCACCTCTGGCCTGTACCCCAGTTCTGAATGAATAAATAAATAAGTCTTTTAAAAAAATTGCTGGAATTTAAACATTCAATGAAATGGTTTACTTTAAAGTTCTTAACTTTAAAGGTATGAATGCTTTGTGGTAGTATTTATGGCTCCTCATCTTAGAAATGGTCATATGGACACACACGTACATGCACATATATAAGGCTGTAAACAAAGGTTTCATACAGTTTCAGGGGGTTTCTGAGGTCCCTAAAGCCATTTCTGGATAGCAGGCGCCTGTGGATCTGACTTATCAGAGAGGTCCCCTCACCTCAAATGAAGTTGTTGAGTGAGACTGTCTTTTGTTTCTTACTCTGTCTTTCAACTTTTTCTTTTCTTCTTCTGCTTGGCTAAAAGAGAATGATTGAAAAAAGAGATATGTAAGAATCACAGAATCACCATTAAAAAGGGATCTCATTTAATTGTTACAGTTAGTAGGTACTAAGTTTTCCCTGTGGGCCTAAACTTTGCACATGCTACAAACTCCTTTCACCCCTGCAAGTAGCAAAACTTTTACCATGATCCCAATTCACAGGTAAGAAACCACAGGCAGAATGTACAACTTGCTCAAGGACCTAGAGTTAGTAAGAGTAGACTGAGGATTTAAAAGTTTAAGCAGGGGTGGTTGTCTAAACTGCTAATAGTCACAAGTGTACCTCTGATTACTATCTAGCTTTGTTTTAAGATGCCAGGATTCTCTACCACATCCACCCATCACCACTGAAACCCTTTGTAGGTCATTCCATCCTTGAATCTTAAGCTCAAAGGGTTGGAAAGTTCTTTCTGGCATAGTACTAAGTACTAAGGCTCTTTTCTGGGGCTTTCACTCACTGGCCCCACTGCCATCATGGACACAATTGAGAATTAGGCCTGTGTCCACATTTAAAGACAAAACTACTTGGATATTTCAAAGGTATAACTTTCCCCCTTAGTAAATACACTAAGCCTTAATAATTCTCAAAAGACATATTTGTACATTTCCCAATGAGGCATTTTCTCAAAATATGTTTCATTTTCCTGTTGAAGGTAGATTGCACATAATTAAATAAAAGCAAAAAGTGGATCCCAATTCAGGGCTTATATTTTCTAGAATTCCTAATAACAATAATTGTCCAGGGGAAGAGAGAAATGTTAAACAAATATCATGCATATAAATTTATAAAGAACGATTAGTACTTTGAAGGAAAAGTTCTGGTTACTAGGAGAGAGAAATCCAGGGGTTAGGGTCATACAGAAGGCCTCAGCAGAACTGTGGAAACTGACCAACACATGGGAGAGGTGAGGTGAACCTCTCAGGTCTCCGTCATTGCTTAGTCCAAATCTGTTTCCCAGACCTCAACTCCTGGGTACAAACTGCAGCAGTGTTTTGTATACTGATGTGCCTGCTTTGTGACTTGTTATGTGATGTAAGATGATTGCATGTCCATTCTGCAATAGGAACTTAACTAATTAAGTCCCTTACAGTGCCATAGGGACTTAACTAGGGAATGATGTTCAGGAATTATTCTGTGATGATTAAGAACTCATGCAAAAAAATGTATCACAAAAGTGCACTGAAGCAAAATGAGCATGAATTAAGGAAGAAAATTTGATGAAACTAAAAAAAAAAAGTAAATGGAAACAAATGAAACAAAAAGAACAAAACCCTCCCTCATTTCCCAGACACAGTTCTACTCACAAAAGGGCTGCACACATGTAGCAAGTATTGGCATACATCTCCCCATCAGGGCCCTGGATGGGGTCACCCTCCCTGAAGCACGCAAGTTTTCCATTCTTCACCGCGCTGCGGTATGTGCTACACAGCTCCTGTCAGGATAGAGAAAGTCAGCTGACAACATTTCACGCAGAAGATTGAAGCACCTACACTGGCCCTGACTGATGTCATTTCTGAATTTTATTTCATTTTTTATTTATATTTTGTGTAGATGTACAAGGGAGTGGGCCAATGGTATGTGTGGGTTGAGGGAAGGTGAGAGGACTCATCAGAGACAGTGTGGGGAGCAGAACAGGCAGGATGACTGAAATACACTGCTGAGGGGAACAGCGGCGGGTCAGGAGAGGTCTGCAGCATCATACTAGCATTAGCTCCCTGACTGGGGATCAAAGTCAGGTTGTAGTGAGTCTGATTCTACAGTCACTACTGTTGTAGTGATAGAGGTGGACCACCAGGGAGGCCTTGAGCCCAGAATCTTAGTCATGATTCTAAATGTAAATTCAACAATCAAATTATGTTGATAATTTGGCACAAAACAGACATAACAGGATGTCATAACATAATTAGTGTTGAGTAAGTGCCAACATGATCTAAACAGATAAAATAAGTACAACCATGTAGGAATTAGAAGAGCCAAGAAGTCAGAGATTTGGACCCTGAAATCTGTTGAGGAAACCAGGGAAGATATCAGGGAAGAAGAATAACTGGTGTGAAGCTGTGAAGAACAAACAGGATTTTCCTGGATAAGTCATAGATTGAGGAATAGGCATATCAGGTAATTAAAATAAAATAAGCTGGGTAACAGAGGTAGGAAGCTACATGGCACGGAGTTTCTGAATGAAGGTAGGCAGCCAAATAAGGAGACAAGTTCTTGGAGTTGATGACAAGCTCTTTGGGGGCTTTCAGAAGAGCAGCATGATGACCCAGTTAAGATTCTGGGACTTTACTAGTTGTGATGGGAGGACAGTTGGATAAAGGCAAGGATAGAAGCTAGAACAACTAGTAGGAGGCTTTCATCAATTCAACAGTAGAGGATCATCTATATAAGGTGTAGAAATGAATGTCACTCCATATTGGAGGTGGACATCATGCTTTTGGTATGGAAGCAGGTATTTTGCCCCAACACAGATGGGAAATTGCAAATTTTCATATGTAGGAAACATACACCTCTAAAGAGTGATGCTGAAGGGTTGCACCATCCGAATTGATGAAATCAGAAATTAGAACTCAGGTTTGCAGATTGCAAAGAAGCTATTCTTATTGGACAGGGTTATGGACATAGCGAGAATCAATAAAGCTCCCATTGCATTCAAGTCAGCATCACCCACATGGACGAGTTACACCGCACTGGAGATTCTGCAGCGCAGTCTCCCAGTTAAAGGCTCTTTGGAGCAAGTTTACAAGATAATGCCAAGGAGATAGACTGTGGGTAGATTCCAGATAAATCCACCACAGGACAGTCTACTCACTGTGTGTGAGGGCTTTCCGCTAGATTCTCTTTTATTTCTTGGTTTTGCTTCAGCCTTTTTCTTTTCTTCAGCTTCTGTTTGGCTGAATGAGAACATAAAAGAGAAAGATCCATTAGAACCAAGCACAGGCAATTATTTCTTCATATTCCTGAGTTGGTCATCTGCCCTTCCTTCTTAGAAAGGAGTAAGTAACTTTGTCCTTTTTCCTCTGGTACTGATATAAAGAACAAAACTGTTTCCAGGATGGTAAGAACCATAAGTTCTTCATTGTTTCTGCTTTACTTTGAAAGAAATATAGTAATTGAAGATCTGGAATATTTATTATATGTGTGTTTATTACATATTCATTTATTACACATATAATTATACACTTAGATCACTTATGTGTTTGTGTATTTCCATAAATTACCTTCCTTGCCTAGGCCATCATCAACATCCACTAAGGAGCCATGGTGATATAAACCCGCAGAGGCTGACAGAGGCTTTAGCATGGCACATCAACAGCTCCCTCTGTTTTCCAGAGAGGAGGAGAGGCAGAGAGGACTTGGCTATACTCTTGGGTCATGACCAACCAACTTCATGCTCCTCAATTGTCTGGTCTAGCAAACACAGCATCCACACCCAAACTTTATCAATTTTATATGAATGTATTTTTTACTTGCAAATGTTTTGCTTGCAGGTAGAAAAGAAAATATAATTTCATATGCTAGATAAACCAAACAAGCTTAAAACTGTTTTGTACAATGGAGAGATCCAGTTAACCGACTGTGCTTTAATCACATGTGGTTATGAAACAAAACAGAAGGCCACAGATTTTAAATGTAATGCAACTACTTCATCTGAACTCCAACAGATAGCTAAGAGTAGTTTCAAATTTTCAGAGTCCAAGCTAACTTTTTGAGAATGATCACATTATATAAAGTAACATTTATTATAATTTCATACCAAATTATGGTTGCTTCATAGGCAACTTTAACTTTTATAATCAATAACAATGTTGATTATAAAATCACTTAACTTTGGATACTAACCCTTCTGTAAGATGAGTTGACTATAAATTGATAACGTTAAACCCACAGGAGAAATTTCAGTGGTGAGGGAGACCTGGATATTCATACAAATTCATGTCTCTTAGGATGTTCCATTATTATGTCAGAATGTCAGGGAAATCAAAACCTTGGAATAAATAGCTTTAGGCCTTTATTCCCAGCTCTATTATTAACATTCCCAGGGTCCTTTACTGGACCCCATTTGCTATTTGGAGCCACAGTTTCTCCATCTATGTAATAGGCTGGATCCATGAGGTTACCTGTGAGGCCCCTTTTCTCCCTGATATTCTAAAACTTCATACTCACAAGAAGGCTTGACACATGGAACACAGGTTGCCATGCATTTTCCCATCTGGACCACGAATAGGGTCATTTTCTCTAGTGCAGAAAAGTACTCCATTTCTTGCGTGATCTTGATACTCTCTGCAGAGTCTCTGAATAATATAAATTAAACAGTTTAGATATAGTTTTTCTCTCTGCTTATACATTTTAGATGTTCTTTGTCAAAGATATTGGGAAATATCTTAATAGTAAGCATGAAAAAAATACAACTTTTAAGATTTAGGACCATCCAAAAAATTTGCAGTGTTTCTCCCCTCTTAATCACTTGTTTATTCAACAAATATATTCAGTTAGAGAATACAGATGTGGATATGATTTAGCTGCTTTGCTGTCACATGGAAAGGATAACTCTCCATAATGTGAAAAAATCAAGGGATCTGATACACGTCTAGATTGAGTGTTGATGGGCAAAAGGGGAAGAATGATTCATGGCAATCATATGAAGTGCTTATGTCTGAGTTGCATCTTGAAGATGTGTCCAGGAAAATAATACGGAAAAAGTTTCTCTGAGAATAACTATGATATGCAAAGAAGCGGCTTGAAAGAATGCATTATTTTAAGATACTTCATTATAGCCATGATAATACTGGCTAAAGAATTTTCTGGTCAAGTGAAGAAGGTTTATGAAGTGATAAAAAAAAAAAGAGGGACTTTTACTATAAATCAAAACCACACTACTAAACTTTTAAGAATTTGGGTTGTATTCTTAGGAAATGATAAAATGATAATACAGCAGGAAGAATATAATCAAGTTCCTTTGTTTTTGAAAGACTGCTCGGCCAAATGGGTAGAGGATTTGCTTGAATGAAAATTGAATTTGGGTAAATTCTAGAAGAAAGGGACAGGAGAAAGAGAGAGGAGAAATTTAGAGATAGTGGTAGAGATAGATGTTTGTATGTGTGTGTGTGTGTGTGTGTTTATTAGATGGAGGAAAAAAGAGAGGGAAGGAGAAAGAAAGAAAAGATATGGAAAGAGGAGAAGAAGAAATTCTAATTTAAAGATAAAAAGGATAGCTGAGGGAGATCTGAGACCAAAATGAAAAGGACTTTGTAGGCTAATATCAAAGGAATAAAACAATAAAAATGAGGCCTAGCCAATAAAATGAAAGCAAAACGTGGCTTAATGGAGTGAGCTATTTTATGAAATTATGAATCACACATCATAGAAGGCAGAGATTTCTGTATGAAATAAATCAAACAAGGTTTATTCATGAGGCAAAACCGTCCAAATATACTCTAGGACATCAACAAATATTGGGTTTCATAATACCAATAGGTCATAAAAATGTCTCCTACCCATGAAAGCAATACAGAAGATGAATCTTGGGGATTGAAGGAGATACTGAAAGTCTAGATGTCTAGAATTATAGACATCAATAAAAGGAAAACTATTAAATGTCTCAGCTCAGCTGGAAGCAGGAGAAGGAAATAAGGCAGATGACTCAGTGGTACTTAGAAAGTAAATGCATTACATCTTTAAAGAGCTATATTGAAATTTTACATTTATCTTGCTTTAAAATTAAAATCTGAACCTCCCTGGTGGCACAAGAGGTTAAGACTCAGCACTATGAAGCTATCCACAGCCACTGCAGCATGAGTTGGATCCCAGGCCAGGGGGCTGACCCGCATGGCACAGCGGACCGCTCAAGCCTCAACTGCTACCCCCCCTCAGCAGTGTATTTCAGAAGATCCGCCTGTTCTGCTCCCTACTCTGTCTCTGGTGAATCCTCTCAACCCCCTCACCTCTGGCCTAGTCCCAGCTCTTATATGCATGAATACATTTAAAAAAATTAAAATAAATAAATAAAAGTTAAAATCTCTGAAAGAGCAAGCATACATTTAGAAAAGAGTGCATATCAAATTTGAATTCAGATAATATTTTTCAATGTATCACCTTGATTTAGGAGTGTGGAACTATTTTACTAGTATGACTTCATTAATTTACTTCAAATACAGCTAAATGTTATAATCCAATCATATAAAATAATATCTTCTCGTCACTCACTCAAAATAATAACCATAAATTAGATTCAGTGGTATACTTTCAGGGGACAGGGTAAGTCAATCTTGAAAATGCATCTTAGACTAAATGTGCACGTCCCCACATACCCACAAGTCATAAGTAGATTGCTCAAATTCATCCTCACCTCAATTTCTCTCTTAGCTTTAAGTTTTTCGTTAGCAGTTCTCAGCTCTTCATCCTCTTTACTTTTCTCTCTTATAAAACGCTGCTTGCTGGAGAAAGAAAAAGAAATAAATTAATACAGATGGCTTTGTATCTTCATGTTACAATATAATCGTTTAGGTGGAGCCAACTTAAGAGGAATAGCTAAGTATTCCTGTGTTCAGTAAAAACATTTACAAATCACTTCGCGACCTTATTTTATTTAAGGGAAAATTATCACTATTTCTCAAAAGTACCGCTTTCAATGTGCCCTCAGATATGCCGTATTATTTCACTGTCATGATCTATTTTGTCATCTTTTCTTTTTTAAAATCTCCCCATTTAAAATTTTGCCTTTTTAAAGAAATATCCCAGATCCCAAAGGAAATGAGTTCTACATCTCACAGAAACACGAAACACTTTTCAGTGTGTGTGGTGGTGGGGGGGGGGCTGAGGTGGGGTACTAGCTGATTTCTGCCATTAGCTTTAAGTTTCTCAAGAGTAAGAAGCATCATTCACACATTTGCTCACTCACTCATTCATTCAGTATTGACTTAATAAATATAGTTTGGTAGCACTGGCCTGGCTCTGGCCTTACCACATAGAAGCATACATTACTCTGTCTTCCTGCAATTTACAGCTCTGCAGAAAGACTGACAGTCAACCAATAATCAAAGAAATGATTGTATCATTACCAATGGAGATGAAAGACATGAAATAGAAGTATCAAGATTTATAAGGATTGAATCTCAATGAGGGATTTTAGAAGGTCTTATCAAGGAAGCTTAATCTTGAAACACAATCCAGGGAAGAGGCGCCAGGAAGTGCCAGGACTGAGCTGTGCAGGCTTCAGGACCATATATGGGAGTTCAAGGGTCTGAAAGAAGTGTGATGAGTGCTTGCTGAGACAGTTCCACAAATGCCCTAATTTTATGTTGTGGGATTTCTCTTCCCCAAGGTCAAAATTCCAAGATGAAAAGATAAAGCTAATCCAGTTCATATCTGACCATGAATTCTTCTGTGGGTGTCCACCTCATCCCGCACAATGGGATAATTACTGAAGGAAAACAAGACCAGTCATGGTGCCTGCTTTTACCCTCATCTGCCCTATGACCAGTTCCTAAGAAGGTTTACAAAGGTCATGGGAGGAAATGTTAACAAGTATTTTGTAATGCATCTTCCACTGGAAAATGGTATTCATTTGTATTCAGAACACCGTAAGAGTCCTCTTGCGAGGTGGATTATGACTTGTCAGGGGAATACAACTGCTCAAGTATTCTCAGTGACATTTTTTTCTCTCAATAGTAATAGCTTTTAAGCATTTCCTCTAACATCCTCACCTTACCCAGCTCCACTTCCCCTCTGAGTCACTCTGAAGAAACCACATCTATACTCACAAAATTTCGGCACAAAGGGCACACTTGTTGCCATGCAGCCTGCCATCAGGGCCCCGCACTGGTTCGCTCTCCCGGGTACAGTAAAGTCTTCCGTTCTTCACTTGGTCTTCGTATTCCCTGCAAAGATCCTGGGAAAAGACAAGTAATTACAATGAACGCACTTCCACTGTTTAATCTAATATGCATCACCTGGTCTGGTGGGAAACATGGAGATTAATGAGTAATAACTGTCAAAGGGCACAGGACCTGTGTGGGCTGGAAGTCTTTATTAAAACGTAAATGAGTCTAGAAGAGAATAAAACAGAATAAATATTGTCTAAAAGTTGACAGTTCTTTTAAAATTTCAAATCTATGGAAAAGGATAACAAAAAAACACCCATTAATGGCTTCCAAGAAAGATACAGCAACAGGCAGGCTGTGGGCCTACCCCCCACTGCCTGCAAAAACAGAGCACAGAACCTGTGAGATAAAATGTTTAAACATTACATACATCACATTAGTGTAGATCAAGGGAAACTACATTTGCAAGCAAAAAGGTACGAGAGGGTCTCCAACAGCATTATGCTCACCTTAGTTTGTTTTCTGTGTATAGTTTCTATGTACACTATCTCTTTTACAGATGTTAATGTTTTATACTGTAGGTGACAACCTTAGAGAGAATGAATCTAGTTGTTCTTCACTGCCTGCCTTACAGAACTAGATCAAGTCTAATATTTAATTAGGAAACTGAAAAGGTTGTGACTTCTCAGAATATTCACGTGACATTTGTGCTCATATTTCTTAACTGGGGCTTTGGTTCAGAACTTTCAGATTTCTCTCTGTGTTTTGAAATTCTGCCATTTGATATGGGTTAAGTGAACTATGTGAAAACAAGAAACGTGCAACGAGAGGGAGATTTGGAGTTTGAAGGCCTGAATGGTAGCCGGTTCCTGCAAGCCACTGGACACCCCAGAAGAGCCCTTTAAGCTTTGAGATTTCAACTTCACCACTTACAGAATAAAGTTTTTGGAATAGATGTTCTTTTGGACCTTTTCTGGATCTAGCATTCTCTGATTTTTTTTTAATGACTCATATTTTATTAGGTAACTTTCAAAGAGAAGCCTGACTGCCCTGTAAAAAGACATTGTCCTCCGAAGAATGATGGGTGTGTTCCAGATTTCCTGCTGGTGACAATCCAGGAATACAGAAGTCAGTCATCTGATAACCATAACACACGATGATAAAATTAATGATCAATGAATCCCATAAAAGAAACAGTGATAATTTCAGTTTAAAGTTGTGATTCATCCAAGGAAATCCTGAAGAAATATTGTAGAAGGAAACCCACTGACAGGATAATTACAGGACTGACATTGAGCCATGTGTCCCTTTCAACACACTGTGTTCAGTAACACCACCAGCTAAAGGGAGGAAGAGAGAAAACAGCCATGATGTCATGGAGGACAAGGGAAAAGAACATCTGTGTTCTGGAAATGCAGACCACCACCCGATGACTCTAAATTTCAGCCTGAAGTTTCACCACCAGCACAAAAGCTTCCTTTTCAAATCCTTAGTGAGTGTCAAACAAATTACTGACAATTCTGTTTCATGTTTCTTTTTTTTTTTTTTAAGATTTATTTATTTATGCATGTAAGGACTGGTGTACAGGCCAGAGTTGCGGGAGATGAGAGGATTCACTAGAGACACAGTGGGGAGCAGAACAGATAGATGTACTGAAATTCACTACTGAGGGGAGCAGTGGGCAAGATAGGAGAGGTCTGCCACACTATGTGGGTCAGCTCCCTGGCCGGGGATTGAACTCATGCTGCAGTGGCTGATAGCTTAATAGTGCTGTGCTTTAACCCCTTGCACCAGCAGGGAGGGCCCCTCAGGTTTCTTAATTTAAACTCAGAACATCCTATGTAGGAGGAGAAGTTTGCCTCACTGAGTAACATTATGAAATGGAAGTTCAGCTCTTGACTACCAAAAACAGCCTGTGTCTACCTCAGGAAACAGAGCCCACAATTCATAGAGATAGCATGCTCATATTGGCATGTAAAAGGTGCATGATACAGAATCACAACTCAACAGGAAGATGAAACTGAGAGCAATTCCCCAACCTCCTTTATTTGCTGACAAGAAAATTGAGGCCCAGAGAAGAGATGATTTGCTCAGTTTTTCATACTCAGAGCATGACAGAACCAAGGCTAAAACTTTTCTCAAGAAAAGGCTAGTCATTTAGTAAAATTACTGTTATTACTTTCATTGAAAGCAGGGTTTAATATCCTTGATGATTTAATTTAGACTGCAAATATCTATTCAATTAACAAAAGGAATAATTTTTACAGCATATTAAAAAGTTTAATCATGTATTTTTTTTTTTAAGATTTATTTATTTATGGATACAGAACTGGGTACAGGCCAGAGGTGCAGGGATGGTGAGAGGATTCACCACACACAGAGCCGGGAGCAGAAAAGGCAGATAGATGAAGTACACTGCTGAGGGGAGCAGCTGGTGGGCCAGGAAAGGTCTGCCACGCCATGTGGTCACCTCCAGGGCAGGCGGGGATCAAACTCATGCGGAAGTGGCTTTAGCTTCTTAGTGCTGTGCTTTAACCCGCTGTGCCACCAGGGAGGGCCTTAATCATGTATTTTAAAAACTTAATTCTAAGTTTTAAAAAACAATAATTTCTGGTGTTTGGAATTTTTGTTCAAACAAAAGCAAGGCTTTTCTGGAAGGCTGGTCTCACTAAATGCAATAACCACAATGGTATAGTGAGTAACTCCAAACTGTGTTAATGGGATTAAGCATAGCATGTGCAGTGAATTTAATATTTAAAAGACTCTGAAATTATCCTAAAATTATTCCTGTCTAATTTATATGACGTTGCATTTTTAAAAGAATTTGTTCAAAGCAACATGAGTTTTACCAAGCCAGAGAGAGAAGTCTGATGGAAACTAAGTAGAATTTAATTTACATAAACTGTCTTATATTTCTCTCGTTTTCAAAACAAGAAGGAACACAGGGACTACACCTGAGGGGGTGGAACCGATTACTGTACAAAAGTGAACCATGATGTAAGCAAAGAAGTAAATGAATTTAATAAAAGAAAAGTCATCAAAGAAGAAATAAAGATGGAAACATGCAGTTTTGAGTTTCAGCTCAGAGAAGCTGTTTAAATTTGAATCTAATAAACTAGAATAATCAACTTTGAGCATTTTGATGTTAAGGGGGAATATCCAATATATTGATGAAGGGCAATAACATTGGATTACCTCAAAATTTCAAGCCTAATGTGTTAATATTTATTGGCACAAGGACCAAATAGTGTCGGTGAATAATTTACCTTTTCTGCACTTCGTCGAATTCTGATTTCACTTTCTCTCTTGGCATTTTCTTCAGCTTCTTTTAAGCTGATAAAAAAGGAAATATTTGGTCAGATTATAGCTCCATCATATTTCCAGGGTTCATTTCTGTGCTGAACACTTTCATCTCCTGTGCTATGACTTGTTAAAACAATCCACTTACAAGAGACAAACACTTCCCTGTCTTGAAGATCCTGAGCCAGAACATTGCTAAAGATAAGGAAGGGCGTGAAACTGACTCACTGACAGTCAATTAGAAGCTTTGTTCTATAAAATGGGAAGGGTGTGACTTCTTGATTGACAAAAAGAAGACTGTCAGGAAAATTCACTTTAACAGGCAGAACCAAGAGCTTTAAAACACCAGAGGGAAACCAACAGTATCAGAAGTACAGTCACCCACACCTATGCTATGGGTGACTTTTTATATTTGTAATGTATTTGTTTGTGCCTCCACGTGCAAACATCATTGTCAATAAAAACTATACTGAATTGTGCTTCTAAATCCTCTTCTACTTATTACCTAATTGTAGTCTTACCCTGGAGAGAAGCATTACTACTTTAGTTCTACTGAGGAAGAAACCAGAACTTAGGGAGGTCAAATTCACTTTTTCAGCTAGTACATTAAAAAAACAAAACAAAACAAAAAACCAGAAAGTCATAGTGTTAGGACAGGTTTGAACACTAAAAACATTTACGTCCTAAATAAGAAAGTGGAATCTAGGCTAATTTCCTATCTGCAAGCCAGTTAAAATTTTGTAAACCTGAACGGACATGCCCTGGAATTTTCTAACAGTGCACTATAATTTTCAAAGGCAGGTGTCAAGTTTATGAATTGGTTAAATCTTTGTCTACGTGGACTTAAAAGACCCATGATGTAAATAGAAGACTTTAAGTCTTGCTGGCACCCAGATTAGAGAGTTATAGTTTGTTAAACAAAATATTAAAGACTCCCTGGAGCTCAGCCACATCCGGGTCTCAGTGCTCTGGGCTGAGTCAGGCCCTTACATCAAGAGGATACCAAGTTCTTCCTTTTCTTAACATTCTAACTTCTAACTTCTAACAATGAACTCAGACATGTGACCTTGTAATTATTTTAAACTGAACTGTCATTGTCAGGAAGAGTGCCCACATGAAGCAATGCCAGTCAAATGACTGACCTAGATTCTTCTATATGAAAGAGCTTTGTATATGTAAAGATAAAGTCCTAAAGGCACTGCACATTTTCAAGTCATTGCAATTCTAAATGAAAAGTCTGGAATTTAATTACTAATATTACCACTTTACCTACTCCTCTCAAGTAATGATAATAGATGTTATGTATTAAAAAAAAAAAAAAAAAAAAGGCCAGCTCTTGAAGCAGGGAGTACTTCACCAGGTAAAGACAAAGGCCGGAAGGCTCCAGGAAAAGGCTTTCATGACTTTCATGACAGTCACTGAGTGTGTCCTCATCATCCCAGCTGCTGGGTCTGCTGAGGAGAATGATACTTACAACAGCTCAGCACACATTGCACACTTATTGCCGTGGGTCTTCCCATCAGGACCAAGAACTGGGTCGTTTTCCCTGGTGCATCCAAGTCGTCCATCCTTCACATAGGGTCGAAAATCACTACACACATCCTGTAGGACAGAAAGAGTCTTGACATTCACCCCCAGATAGTAAGGCTTATAAGACTCGATTTCAGAAATTGTACAGAACTCAGCGCCTCTCTGCCCACACCTAGGGCAGTGCCAGCCAGCCACAAGTTACTGGGTAAGAATTATATGATTCACATGGTTAAATATGAGTTAATTTACCTACTTACTCATGTATTCAACAAATGTGGATGTCCTACTATACCTTAGAACCAAGGCAGAACACGGTCTTTGCCCTCAACTGGCTCAAGATCTACTGAGTGATACAGAAAAGAGATATTTAAAATAAGGTGTGCTAAAGTAAAAGATGAATGCAGTCCAAACCACATCCTTTAAATCTAATGAGATGGTACCAGAAACAGGGGGCGGAGAGGGCAAAGAGAGCTGAAGACTAACTGGGACATGAGGGAGGAATGCTGTGTTCCAGTGTGATAGCACACATTTGAAGAGTTGGGAACTCTAGAAGTCATAAAACATTTATAGCATTGGAAACCAATGCTACCTCTATCAAAATAATTTAATTAAAAATGAGATAATAAAATACACTGTGCTGAGTATCTCAGTGGATGTCATCGCCAGTGTTCTAGAAGAATTGCTACAGGGCTTAAACCTTGACTTGGGAAAGTGATTCAAATAGACAAAGACAAGTGTGGCATGCATGAGACACTTCCTTCCCCAACCATCACAGGTGACAGGATTTTTTATTATAGAAAGAAGCTGTTTAATTCAAATCTCACTTTGAGCAACAAAATGCAGGTATCCTGCGGTTAAGCAATTTTCTCAAGGCCTCTTGACAGCAGGCGACATTGCTGGGTTTCAACTCAGGGTAAATGAAGGCAGTTTAGTGCCCTCTGTACTACACATATAATTCTTTTTTATTTCTTCTTTTTATCTCTTTCACAGAAAGCTGAAATAGACTTAAAAGGTATAAACCACTAAAGCAATCTTCTCCTGTTGAAGGAACTACCAACTGCTTTTCAGCTAATGTGAGCATGCCATTTCAAGTACAAGAGTTACCTCCCCACAAAAACCCCTTCAGAGGAAGGAGAGGAGAGCCTCTTTTCCTGCCGATGTCAGTTCTCCCATGTTTCCCAGCACCCTGATTTTGGTTCTCACCTGCTCTGGAGCACTGTTATTACATTCTCCTTCACTTTTTATGTCAACTTGAGATCTGGTTTTACTGAAATTGAAAGTTGACAGACACAGTAGTTTAATATCACAGAATTTCCCACCCTTCAAATATAACATCTTCAAAGGATTGCGATTCTCCTTTGCTTCCAAAGACAGATATCATGTCACATTCTTTTTTTACTTACCCTTTCTAATGAAAGCCTGTACTTACAATACTTACAACTTAGAAATAAAAAAAAAAAAGTCACATTGGAGAACTGATGAGTGTAACTATTATACCATTATTCCTAGAGTTGTTTCCCCTATGTTCAGAACTGATCTTTATCAGACGAGTGGGGGGATGTAAGGTTGGTTACATACATGTTAGATGGCCCCCACGGAATTTTGTTGTTGATGATGTTATTGGTTTAAATAAGTAAATTCCAATTTATAACCTCTAACATTCTCTATATCAATCTTGATTTGGGTTATGCTAATATATTTTCTATTGAAAATACATGTCCTAAGAATTATTTTTTTTCAGTATAGAAGTGCTTTAATATTTATTTAAAAATATAGAACCATAAATTCAAGATACACTTGATACTTTCTAAAATTATAAAGGCAGCATCTGCAAACAAGATATATATATCATCTTTACATAACAGATATAAAGAAAAAAATAAATAGTAAAAAGTGCTAAGAAAACATTGTATCAAAGACAGAAGTTGAGAGAAACTAAATATTGAATTTTGATATTATTGCAGAATCTTTTGGGAGACAAAGTTAAAAAGAAACACAATGAGCAGTATGGCTTCCATTATTTAATAGAAGTGGACTCAAAATTAAAGGAAAGAAACATTCAGATACTAGAAAGTCAGATTTAGGGGGTTCATAGGATCCCCCACATAAGACACAACAGGAAATAAATACATTGTCTGCTCAAGTTAAAATACATATCTAATACAAATGCTATATTCTTTCTGTTTTGTTCAGTTTTCTATGTGCTGACCTTTGGTGAGAGTTGAAAGCATAATAGAAAGGTTATTTTTGAAAATGTAGTCATGTAAGGGATCAGTTATTGGTAGACACCAATATGAGTGTAAAACTTGCAGGCGCTTAAAGACTGAAGACTTCACATGTCACTTATGAGCCTTATCAAACACTGAATTGGTGGATTTGCAGAAACCGAAGAGCAGACGCTCCCAGATTGAGGTCACCAGCCAGAACCTGCAAAGCAGGTCTGCCATCTTGTTGACGGCAATCAATAACCAACCTGGCACTGAGGGTGGAGGAAAAAAACAAAAGCAAATGGGCAGAAAATGTGGGGCAGTGAGATGCTTCAACTACATGCAAAGAGTGAAGTCCCAATTAAAAGTCCTAGTTGTCTACTGTAATATAATTTTGAGTATTTAGTAAAATTAAATTTGAGCATTTGATGATTTAATAATTCTGTGAAAAAGTACAGAACTCTATGGGTAGAAAAGAAACAATACATATATGTAAATGTATGTAGGTATGGGGTATATACAGTTAGATAATAGCTAGACAGATATGTCTGGCTACTTCATGGCAACAGAGGTAACTGATAAATCACACGCAAAGGTTCTTTGTAACATATATGTAGTGTTTTGCTACACACTTAATGTTTTTTTTTCCTTAAGAGCAGTAAAAGAAATGGTCCTAATAATTTAGGGATGGCTAACTGCCATAAAAAGGGTTGCTTTCATAAAGATCGTAAGAAAAATGTGTTCAAAGTAGCAGAAGAACATGCTGTAAGGACAAAAGCATCTGTGGAGAATACTCACACATTCTCAGCACAGAGGGCACATCGGTTGCTGTATGTCTTTCCATCTGTGCCACAAACAGCGGCATTATCAAAGGTGCAGATAAAGTCCCCATCTCTCTCTCCTTTCCTGAAATCATCACAATTCAACTGCAAGCAACATGAAAATATATAATATTCCTTAGACACATACATAGGTTAATACTTTAAGTTCATTTTAAATCGCTAGAGAAAGAAAACATCAAGGAAACCATACTAAATGAATAAAATCATGGATAATAAAACACGGTGCAAGAACAAAACTAGCATTAAATTTTAGAGGAAAACATTTCAGCTGCTTTGTCATCGGGTGAGGCAGGCAAAAAAAAAAAAAAAAAAAAAAGCACCTCTCTGAAACCTGCTGTGCTGACTTTTTTCGAATTCTGCCTGCCTTCTCAGCAGCAGGGTAATGAGGCCCACTGGAGATGGAAGCACAGTGCAAAAAAGATTCTGTTCTTACACAGTCGGGCAGTGACCAAGGGCCTGTTGCTAAGCACCTAAACACCCAACTCTTCCACTTACTAGCTGTGCTGTTTGGGAAATTTACTTAGTCCCCCTCTGCTTTAGTGTCTTCACTTATAAAATGGATCTATTTCTGGCCCTCCCTGGTGGTGCAGCGGGTTTAAGCGCAGCACTAAGAAGCTAAATACACTTCAGCATGAACTTGTTCCCTGCCTGCCCCAGAGATGACCACATAGCACAGCAGACCTCTCCTGACCACCCACTGCTCCCTTCAGCAGTGTACTTTGTTGATCTGTCTGTTCTGCTCCCCACTCTGTCTCTGGTGAAGCCTCTCACAGCACCTGTGTCTCTGGCCTGTACCCCAGTTCTGTATGTACAAATAAATAAATCTTTTAAACAAATGCATCTATTTCAACCTCTCAGGATTCTCGAGATTTAAAAGCATTAATATAGGTATAACACCTAGCACATTGGAACCACTTATTGCTGTTGTTACTGCCATTATTTTAAATATTTCTCTACTGACAATCATGCTAATAGAAGTAAGCAGCTTTTAGGGATGATGAGACGAATCTTAAAATTGCCTCTCTAATAATATGACATGTATTTAGGGACTTGTCTGTGTGGGAAGAAACACCACCATATGAAGTAATAACTGAAGACTACTATTCAAATTTTTGATCTACCAACTACTTACTTCACCTCTTTGAACCTCACTTTCCTCATCTGAAAATTGGGAATTCACACCCCATTCACATTATAGATTTGTGATGATAATCAAATGAATACTTGTGAAATGTTATTTGGCAACTTGTTATTGTGCCTTAAGCTACTGAGGAAAACAGAGTATTGATGAGTTTAATTTCTAGAATAAAATGGGATTTTTCACTTATGACATTACATTGCAAAATTTAAAAAAATTGATGTTATTGTTATTAAAATATTAACTATAGATATAAAACACTAATCTAGTATGTCACACAATATGAAGAATAAAAGTAGGGGTCTCTCTGGTGGCCTAGGGGTTAAGTCTCAGTGCTGTCACCATTAAGGCCTGAGTGCTGCCCCTGGCGAGGGAGCTGACCCACTTGGTGCAGCAGATGTCTCCTGTCTCACCCGCTGCTCCCCTCAGCAGTGTATTTCAGTCAGTCTGCCTGTTCTGCTCCTCACTCTGTCTCTGGTGAATCCTCTCATCCCCCCACCTTTGGCCTAAACCACAGTTCTTATATACATACATAAATAAAAATCAATCTTTTTTAAAAGTTAAAAGAATAACAGCAGGATAAATGCAAACATGTAATGAGTTTGTGAACAAGAAAATTACATTGAGGAACTCTCCCAGAAGAAAATTACAAGAAAAAAGAATTTAAAGTACAAATGGAAAAGCCATAGAATATACCCCACTTTTCATGCCATTTGTCTAGGAAGGAGTTAAAGAGAGAGAGAGAGCAGGATAAATAAGGGACATGGGTACACTTTCACTCACAGTGTGTTATGCCTCAAAATTCATCACCTACTTACTGGGTTCTAGACATTCCACTAGAGGGTGAAACTTTTGCTAAGAAAAAGAGAAACAGAAACAAGCTCTAAGGAACAAACATT